AGTGTGGAGCCACTTGCTAAAAAATAGTTAGGAATTCCAAGCTGGCAACAGCATTAACTGACGTGTGGGGCTCCGTGCGGCTGCACAGGTTACTTGTACATGAAGCCGGCCCAGTCCCGGGGACTGTCTGTGCTGGGGACAACTGTGGCAGTGTGGAAGCCAGGCAAGCTCTACTCTGGTCGGATGGGAAGGAAAGGGGCTGAGATATGAAATGCTAGCCCCACCCTGGCGGCCCCTGCCCACCAGTTCTCCATCTTGAAAATTTGCACGTATTCTAACTGCAATGGTGCAGGCCTGAGATGCTAAGTGTGGCAGCTAACATTTGTAGATTATTCACTGTGTGCCAGATACTAACTGCTTTATATGGATAAATGCTTTAAAAATCCTTATGGTAACCCTGTGAGGAAAGTCCTATAACTGAACTGGTTTTAAAGATGAAGAAATAGAAGCTCAACGAGGTTAAGTGACCTGCCCAGGGTCACACGGCTGTCGAGTATGGAGCCTGCTCTGTTTGCATCCTGGACCCATGATTTTAACTGCTATTCTAATCTCCCAGGCCCACAACACATCAACCACTACTGCACACATGGCCTTGGTCTTGAGGCACTCGAAGAACCAGGTACATAGAGTAGGTTCTCCCGGTTGGGTACAATCCCTTAATGTCCCCTTGGCCTCTAACACATGCACTAAGGCTCCCAGCACCTGTGAGTGGATCACACCTTCACTTGTCCTCATGGCAAACTGGGCATCTCCAGAGGCCACAAAGCTCAGAGGTGGATGCCCTCCCCAAGATGCCCCACATGCCCCTGCCGTGACCTGGCCTGCTCTTTCCATCCTGGGCATCAGGAATGGATTCCATTTCCTGGGCTATCCCCGTGATCTGGTCTAGAACTTTCCATCCCCAGGACTATCACACACTCTCCCAGGAAGATACCCAGCTGTCCTACCCACCCACCTTCAGAACTGCAAATCTCAGGGTACCTGAAAGAGCCCCCATGGTCCGAAACACGTCTATAGACTCTGCTGGGGCTCTGTCCCTGGCCCTTTGGTTCTGTGCTTGGTGGAATGTGAGTAATAGTAACAACAAAAAATGCATTAACAGTGTATGTGCCAGACAGTGTTGTAAGCACTTAAGACACGTTACTGCATTTAATCTTCACAACTATCTTGTAAGGGAGGTTTTAGTCTTATCCCAATTTTCTAAATGAGCAAACCAGAGAGGTTAGGTGACTCACCTATGGTCACACAGTGAGTGACATGGTTGATGTAGCTGTGATAGGATCAGAGTCCCAGACTGTCCGTCTCACTATCGCCTTGTGGGACCTCCCAGCACCTGCTGGGATAACATACCACAGGGAAGAGCCTGTCTCTGACTGCCTGGCTCCCCTGCCCATATTCCCTTCAGTGGCTTTTGGGGCCAAAGGCCCCTTCAAAGTGAACCCACAGTCCCCTCTGCTGGCAGCTGCCCTGCACTGCACCTCCTGTCTCTGACCTTGAATGGCCTTTATCATTAATAGTGGACAGGCATTTGGCTGCAAGCCATATAAACCAGCTCTGGCTAACTTAAGGGAAAAAAGGGTGGGGGGATGAGAGGCGAAGGTGAGGGTGGGAGGGAGAGTGGAGGTGACATGTTAGAAGGGTCATGAAGTATCTCACGGACTCCACGAAATTGTCACAGAAGACCCAGAGCACCCCACAGTGCGATCACAGGGCTTTCTTCCTAGAGCAGCAGTCCCCAGCCTTTTTGGCAAGAGGGACTGGTTTCGTGGAAGATAATTTTTCCACGGACAGGGGACAGGGGTGTGTGTGATGGTTTGAGGATGATTCAAGAGCATTACACTTACTGTGCAGTCAAACCTCTCTGCTAATGATCATCTGTATTTGCAGCTGCTCCCCAGCACTAGCATCACCGCCTCAGCTCCACGTCAGATCATCAGGCACTAGATTCTCATAAGGAGTGTGCAACCTAGATCCCTCCCATGTGCAGCTTACAGTAGGGTTTGTGGTCCTATGAGAATCCATGCTGCTGATGTGACAGGAGGTGGAGCTTACGGGGTGATGCGAGTGAGGGAGAGTGGCTGTAAATACAGATGAAGCTTCACTCACCTGCTGCTATGAGGCCTGGTTCCTAATAGGCCACGGATTGGTACCGGTCTGCAGCCCAGGGGTTGGGGACCGCAGTCCTAGAACACTGCCATCCATGAGATTCTGCTCTAATGATAACGATATTTCTGTGTTGTTTCATTGAAAATTCCACACTCCCAGGAGACAGTATCTCATTGTCCCTGCTTGAGCCAGGCATTTTCCACAAGTACAGACTGAGGCTGTGGGGCCTCCCTGGCAGGTCATTTCCTCTAATGGTCAGGCTGGCCCCTGTATGCCTTGATCTGCTCCTTGGCGTGATTAAGGGCTGGCCAGGCATGCCAGTGTGTGTGTGTGTGTGTGTGTGCGCGCGCACTCGTGAATGTGGCCAAAGAATGGGGTGAGCACTGGTCTGGGTGGCGGAGCATCCCAAGGCCAGGATGGAGGAGGGGGCTGTGCCAGGGATTGGTGATGGCAGGCAGGAGAAGGAGGTCAATAAGGAATCAGCACCTGGACCAAGGGTACTGATTCCTGTCATACTCCTACCCACCCCCATCCCAATACAGAGCCTACAAGTTTTTTTGTTTTTTTTTTTTTAGAGATGGGATCTTGATACATTGCCCAGGTTGGAGTGCAGTGGTAGGATGCCAGCTCACTGCAGCTTTGAATTCCTGGCTCAACTGAACCTCTCACCTCAGCCTCCTGAGTAGCTGGAACTATAGGCACCCACTACCACACCCAGCTAATTTTTTTTTTCAAAGACAGGATCTCACCATGTTGCCAAGGCTGGTCTCAAACTCCTGAGCTCAAGCTATTCTCCTACCTTGGCCTCCCAAAATGCTGAGATTACAGGTGTGAGCCACTGCACCTGTCCCCACCCTCCAACAATTTTAATCCTTTTAGCTACTGACATTCCATCCAAATTAGTTACATTTTCAATTTCACATTTTACCCAAAGCCCTTTGCCAGCTTCGGGGTGACTTAGGCACTGGTGGCTGGGGACAGAGAGGGAGCTTTTACACACTCACCCTCTTCCTTGCAATTTGCTTCTCTGCTGTGGGTTTTAGGGAGGAGGGAGAAAGGGAAAAAAGAGTTTCTCATGTGACTGCCCTTGGTGAGTTGGGACAGGCTGCTTCCTGTGGGTCATAATTCCTTTGTGGGTCATAATTTCCTTGCATAATAACCATACATCAGTTGCTCTCAGTGCCTAAGAGCAGAGGTGATGTTCCAAATATTTAACAACCAGAATGGCACAGGCATCAACCCATCAGAACAGTCACCAGCCAATTCCTGAGCAGTGTCCTGAAAGCTCCCTGCCGTGCCAGGCCAGAGACAGTGGGCAGAGGCACTTACTAGATAGTTTAAAAGCCCTGGAAGTCCTGGAGGTGGGAGCAGGGTGGCGGGAGTGGCAGGAGGCACTTGGGAAAGTGGCTATTTACCAACCAATTTGGAAACCTTTCAGTACTTTAATAATTCGTGTGGTGGCTGAATTTTAGCCTTGCCATCACTAATTCAATTCACTATCAGTACACTCGGAGCTGGCAGTGAGGTTTCTCCAGGCCCAAGCCATTCTTTTGGATATTGGTGGTCTCTTGAAACAACTACATTTTCCAGATCTCCAGCTGGCAGCATGTGGGGATCCCCGCAAGCCTGCAGCTCCCAATCTTAACTGGACTCTTCACCCCCAGCTTTAAGGTCTATACCTGTGCTGTCCAATTTTTTTTTTTTTTTTGGAGACAGAGTCTCACTCTGTTGCCTGGGCTAGAGTGCCGTGGCGTCAGCCTAGCTCACAGCAACCTCAATCTCCTGGGCTCAAGTGATCCTCCTGCCTCAGCCTCCCGAGTAGCTGGGATTACAGACATGTGCCACCATGCCCGGATAATTTTTTCTATATATTTTTAGTTGTCCAGCTAATTTCTTTCTATTTTTTTAGTAGAGATGGGGTCTCGCTCTTGCTCAGGCTGGTCTTGAACTCCTGAGCTCAAACGATCTGCCTCAGCCTCCCAGAGTGCTAGGATTATGGGCATGAGCCACCGTGCCCGGCCTGTGCTGTCCAGTTTAATAACCACAGCCTACATGTGATTATTTTTTAAAAAATTAATGAAATTTTAAATTTTAGTTCCTCATTGGCACTAGTTACATTTAAGTGCTCAGTAGCCCCAAGTGCCTAGTAGCTACCATCTTAGATAGGGTGGGTACAGAACTTTGCAAAAAGTTCCATTGGTCAGCTCTGGACTATAGGCCCATCTTCTGTAACTCTCAGGAATTGACCACTGAAGGGTGCAGTCCTTACCCTCTCCAGTTGGCATTGCCAGCACGTCTCTCCTCACTGCTTCTTCCATCTCATCCCAACTCCTGCCATAGCAGCACTGAAGCAGGTAACACACCTTAGGGGTCAGCTGAGATACAACCAGGAAGTAAGAGTCTGACTCACTTTCCTGGGGATACTCCACAACTTCATGAGCTAATTCCTAGAGGTCTCCCACCCAGAGTTTTGGGGAAGGGAAACATTTGAATACACCCACAAGCAACGAGGGGAGAAGACAGTCTGTCCCCCTTTATAAGCGTAGTGCTCTTCCTGCCTCAGCCCTCTTTATGGAAGCCTAGGGGTGGGGGCAGAGCGATTGTTGGGCTGGCTCTGAAGTTGGGTATCTCTCAGCAAACATCACATGAAGGTGGCTGAAACTACAATCTTCAGTACTCTGAATTTACAGTACCAGTCACTTGTCTGTTTGCTCTCAATGCCATTCTCATCTTACTGTGCTCCCCTCTGCATAGCAAGGAGCTGGAAACCTGTAAACCACATTTCTCAGATTCTTTTATCAAACTATTAATAACTTCCCATTAGGTTCTGCCAACGAGTGGCTCTGGTGGGAATTTGGAAGGCAGAAGAAAGAAACTTGCTTTTCCTTCTCCAGCAATGGTAGGAGCAGCAGCTTCTGCAGCAGCAAGAACAACGAGGTGGCTGCAGGCTCCCAGCACTCTTCCCGTGGTGGTGGTGGTAAGCACCCCAGCGGCCTGGGCAGCATGGCTCTCATGACCTCTAGCTCTGGCAGTGACAGCCACAGAAGCAGGTGAACTTCAGACTTCCAGACTGCAGCACCAGTGAGAATGCTAGCTCCTGGCTTCCTGCAGGGCCATAGCGGTGGTTCTAGTAGTGGCAAGAGCAGGGGCTCCAACCGACTTAGCAATGCAATGCACTCAGGCTCTGGATAGCACCATTTTTCCCTTTGACCCTCCAGCCTATGGGTGGCAGTGGCTTCCTGCAATTAGAAGTCTTCGGGTAACCTCACCATCTGTGTTTTGCTCCTCTAGCTCTTTAACACTTTTGTATTCAATCTGTCATATTAAATTCTCTCTCTGGTATACTAGAATGGTTTTCTGTTTTCCCTGAAATGTAAGAAGTGCTGTATGTCACTTTCAAAGCAAAGCCTTTAGAAGCAGGTGTGCCTTCTCCACATTCTTTCCCTTTTCCCTGGCTGGAGAACCTAAGGGATGGTAGAATGGCAAGGTAGAAGGGATATAGGTCCCCAAATCCTTCAAGGAGGAGAACCACCCATCAACCTGACACCAGCTCTGGACTCTATGTAAACAAAAACTTCTGTTGTCACAACCACGCTTGACTAGCTTTAAAAAAAAAAAAAAATTAAAAGAAAAAACTTCTGTTGCATTTGAGTCATTGTGTATCTGAATCTATTTGTTATGGCAATTTAGCCTTTCCCCCAACTAATATGGCACCTTAATGACCATGATCTATATATTTATGTGAATACAGTGCTTACTTGCACCAGGCACTCTGCTAAGCACCTTGTCCTCACTGAATCCTCCCACAATAACTAGTTCTTATTACTATTCCCATTTACAGACCAGATAACTTGATTGCAGAGAGATTAGGTAACCTGTCCAGGATCTGTCTGACTTGAAAGCCTATGCACTTAGATATATATGTAGACAGATATTTTATATACACATATATTATATATTTTGTTTGCCCCCACTCTGTGCCCTATTCTACCCTGCACTGTGTCCCAGGAGGCTGCATGTGAACTGCACTGACTGGGCTTCCTGTTGGATTTGGCTAATGGGAGACACAGAAGGAGAATGGCACATGGGAATAGAAGAAGGTCAAGGTGTTTTTTTCCACCCACCCCCAGTCTCTCTGTACCAGGCCATGTGTTGGCCGTGACTATGTTCACTGCCAAAGTCCATGGCGCCCACTGAAAAGCTATTTCCTACAATAACAGCTCTCTCCTCTCCTCTTGCACCTTGTGGCTTAGGGGTGGCACTGGATCACCACGGGTGCTAGCTCCAGGGTACTTGGCAATACCTTGTTGATTTCTCTCAACCTTGCCCATCTCTGTGTACTTAGTTCCCTCACTGACCTAGTTTCAATGATGCCTTTGAGTGCTATCTGTCATGTGTTTTTTTATCCAGCATTTATTCACCCTTTTCTTGGTAGGAATACCCTCCTGTCCTACTCCGGGTGCACATTCTTTGGTAGTAGTTGACTTGACTTCCCAGTTCTAGGTGTAGGCCAGTGACTCAACCCTGGTCAATCAGAGCACAGCATCCCCCCCCCACTTGCCCCCAAATCCCCATCTTTAGTGATTGATTCTAGCACTGGGAAAGAGAAGCGCTCTTCTCTTTTGTGGGACTCCAATCTGAAAGTATGTTAGCCTGGAGATGCTGGCAGATATATTGCCTTTATGTGGATCCCAAGAATGAAGCCAACACTCAGGAGAGCAAAGCTGAGCTCCTGGAAAGAGGTCAGATATTAATCACATTGTTTAAACCCTTGAATCCAGCCATCCCTAAAGTCCGATCTATGTCCGAGGTTTTCCCTTACTTAAGCCATACGTTCTCTTTTTGCATAACCCATTGTGGCCTGGACTTTCTGTCTTGTGTAACAAAGAGTCATAACTGATAGAGAAATATGTCAAATTGATACGTGTTCTTTGCAAGCACACAGAAATCACTTCTAGACAACCTAAGTTTAAAAAAGAAATCTTGGTGAGGGATGGGGTGTGGCTTAGAGAACCAAAGGAAAAGGAGAAAAAGCAGTTCTTAGAAAAGACATGTACCAGAGTGTTCCCTGGGGACTCAGATAGCAGGAATGAATGGACAGTGTCATCAGGGCACTGCCCTGGAATAACCAGTGCTAATCATCTACAATCCTTGAGTCACTTTACTCAAGATTCACTTTTTCTTGGTGAGGGTGGGCAGCAGGAGAGGAGAAAGATACAAAGACTATTTAACCTTACTTGAATCATATGTCCAACCCTTGTCCAAAGGCAAGACACCTGGATTGATAGTTCCCACAAAGACTGTACACAATAGGGCAGTATTACCTTATACTACAATTCTCCAAAGTAAAATCTGTTCTAAGCACTTTGCATATATGAATTCATTTTAATCCACAGAACAGCCCTATAAAATAGGTACTGTTATTATTATCCCTATTTTACAGATGAGGAAACTGAGACACAGAGAGGTAAATGGCCACACAACTGGTAAGTGACTGAGATGGGATGTCAACCCAGGCAGCCTGGCTTAAGTCTGTGCACTTAACCCACTACACATATGGCTTCTCCAGGAGAAGAGTGGGGGATAGATGCAGGACAGGCAAAGACATAAAGTCCCCTGCAGTTGTCACTAAAGGGATTATGGGAAACTTCTACTCTCTATCATTGTGTATCATTTTTTTAAGCTACCATGTATTAATAAGCAAAAGAAGATAATAGATAGATTTCCATTATCTATTGGAAATTTGAAAACAAAAATCCTGCTTAGCCAACAGAGAAGGGAAGGAACCCAACTCTAGTGATCTCACTTGTTCTCAACCACAAGAGAGACAGTGAACTATCTAGGACCTAGAGGAATTCCAGCTGTCACCAGGCTGCACTAGCCAAAGCAGAGAAAATCCAGGGAATCAGGAAGGCATTATCCATCATAAAGACACTGTTCAAGACCAAGGATGAGAGGAATGCTAGCAGTTAGGTGAAGCAAATTGCAGTGGTCACAGCCTGCAGACCTCTGCTCTCACCAAAACCCTATAGGGTTCAATTACCTGTGTGTCCTCTCTTGGGGCCCCTTGCACAGTCCCCCTGTCCTTCTTCCATGCAGCTTGCTCTGCTCTCCTCATTCTTCAGGGCCTGCTCCTTCAATAACCTAGAACAGGTGCTTGCCAAGCCTCCAAGCCCAAGAACAGTAAGGCCATGACAAAGCCCCAAAACTTAAGCCACATCCCTCTGGCTCAGACTTCAGCTACACAACAGTGGAAATCCCAACTCAGTTCTGAATGCAACCCCTTTCCAGGAACACAGGTCAGCCAGTGGTTAAGCGTGTGAGCTTTGGAGTCAGATCTAGGTTGGAATCCTAGCTCTGTGGCTAACAAGCTGTGTTACAACGGACAAATTCTCTAACTTCTCTGAGCCTCCATGCACTGCCATGAAATAAAGTAATGGTTCTGGGGCTGAATTCAGTCCCTCTGCACTGGTACAGCTGAACTGGTTGTTAGAGCATCAAAATACTTCTAAACTGAGTGGTAAATAGACAGCCGTAACCTTCAACTCCCCACTATACTAGCCTCTCTCCTACCTGTCCCACTGATCCAATAACTTAAGTGTCAACTCTCAGCAGAACGAAGAGCTACCAAGACCTTGATCTAGCACTAAGGCCAGCATCCATCCTGATTGGTAATGCTCGTGCCTGAATGGGTTGTTGGATATATTTAATATCACCCCTGACAGTGGTCATCTTTGGGATTAAGCGAGATGATACAGATAAAGAACTTGGCAGAGAGTCTGGCACATAGTGAAGCAAATCAATGTCAGCTGTTAATACTTTAAGCATCAAACTGAAGGGGACAGAAGAGGCAGGATCAAGATCAGGGTCTCAGAGCTGAGTATTATGAGTAGGTGAAGATGGGTTATGACTGGCAGTTTAGGGACAGTCACAGGGCCCCAAGATGATTCATGGGTGAGGCTGCTTGGGTAGTCCTGCCTGGGGGAGGGGGTGGTCAGGAGAAGCATGCACTGGCCGGCTTGCAGTTCAGGAGGGCTTCTCCTTGTTTTCACTACTTCCAGCTCCACTGTACCGCTGGAATCCCATGTCTTGTTCACCTGAGATAGAAAGGCTGCTCCCAGGAGGCTGGACTTTCCCTTTCTAATGCCTTGGGAAATCAGAAGCAAATACTCCAATCCAAGGTCTTTCCCCTTAAGAACTTGAAGGATCATTAGGAAAGGCAGTGGGATCTGGAGCTAGACTGCTGGGCTTCAAATTCCAGCTCTGTAGCTCTCTTTACTAGCTATGTGAACTTGGGTCATTGACTTCACCGCTCTGTGCCTTGATTTTCTCATCTGTTAAATGGGAGCAATAAGAGTACCTGCATCATAGAGTTCTTATGAGGAATAAATTAGGTAATACATATAAAGTCCTAGAACAGCACCTGGCACAAAGTAAGCTCTCAATATGTATTAGCTATTGTTAAGGGGCTCACAACTCTAAGTGGAGCTGTTAGATTCATTCCCACATAATCCTGTACAAGGTGACAGTCTATCTTCACCCTCCTTCACCCCCCTTCACCCTCACCCTGCTCCTCTGGGCCTCCTATACCAGCTCCCACGTTTCACAGACTGGGAGGCCCAGAGTAAGAAAGGTCTCGCCCACGGTTATATGTGGAATCACTGGCAAAAATGGGACCCCATTTTAGGGTTTCAGATGCCACTTCCAGCAACCTAGGCTGCCTCTCCCCACTTCCTCACGTCTCAGATGACCATGGACTGCGAGCAAGCACAGTTCTTGCCCATCTCTGGGTCCCGGGGCCCAGAGCAGAGAGGGTGCCTGGGAAGTGAAAGACTTAGGGATTTCAAACATCTGTCCGTAGGGAGTCACCAACCCATGGTGCCAAGGATGTGGCTCCTATCTAGTGGATCCCCCAGCCCCCTGCTAAGGTCCCAGAGGGAAGACATAGCCTGCAGCCGGGAGAATGGGTAGAGCAAATCTGTTTCAAGAGGTGAATGGGGCGGTTCCTAAAGAAAAGGGACGCCCATTGGTTCCTCCCCAGCGATCCCCGCCCGGGCATTTCTGGGACCCGACCCAGAAGCCTGGCGTCCTCCCGCGGCAGGTCGGTCCCCATCCCCCGTCGCCCCGCCCACCTCCACCAGCGCAGCTCGGACAGAAGCCCCGCCTCTTCACCGCGGCTCTGCCTGGTCAGCCCCCATTCGACCAATCCCCAGACGCCCGCCCCCACTTGTGACAGGTCCTTAGAAGTTCCTCCTCCGCACGTGGCAAGTCCGGGGATATCTGCGCCCGCCAGCAGTCACTTGGGCGTAAAAGCGTTCCTTCCCACTGTCTTGGGCCGGGCGCTCTCAGACGCCAGTGCAGCCCGGACGGCCAGGCTGGGCTTTGGGGAGACCCCCAAGGGCGGGGAGGAGGTGTTCCCAGGGCCCTGAAACCTTCCAGACCCGCTCAGTATAAACCGCGTCGGGTTTGTGTCAACATCCGAGGCCAGAGCCTGGCGGCGGCTGGGGACAAACTCCGTCTACGGGAAGGGAAGATGGGAGGGTGGGAAACGGAGGGGTCCACGGGGTAGGCAGAGGGCTCCTTCTGGGGGAGGACGCGAGAGGCCTCCTGGGGGTCCGTGAGAAATAAGGAGGGCCTGTCTGGGGAGGGACTGGAATGAAGGGCTGGGGGGGGGCGGCTGGAGGGAACCCACGACGAGCGTGGGGCCAGGCAGTCTCAGTACTTCGCCATCCCGCTGCGCTCTCCGCGCACATCCACCACCCTCCGCTCTGCACCCGGCGTGAGCGGAGTGGTGTGGGGCGCGCGAAGGGACCACCCCATCTCCTCCCTCCCCCACTCAGCTACTCGGCAGCTCCTCTTTGCCCCCCTCCAATTTAAGATGGGATATGAGTGGGGGGGTCTCATCTTGTGACTCATCCCCTCTTCCATCCCCGCCCCCGCTAGTGCCCAGGAAGGGAAAGCTTAGAGATTTCGCTGTGATTCTTCCGTTTCCATAGCAACGTTGCGGTTGTTTTTTGTGAATCCACTTCAATGGTAGACACTTTTCACCCCAGATCTTGAGCCAGGGACTGAGCCTTAGGGCAGGGGTACGGGGGAATACAGCCCTCCCCTTCCTAGCGACTCTGGGAAGGTCAGCGCGGGCAGGCGGGGCGCGCTCCTGTGGCCGGGTCTCACTGGCCTCTTCATCCCCACCTGAAACCCCGCCTGCCACTCCGCCCCAGAGGAGCCAATAGACGTTCAATCTGCCCGGGGTGGGGCGGGGCTTATGCAAATCGTGCCGCCTTAGAGGCACATAGTGATACAAGAGCAGGGAGGCAGCTCCAGCGCGGACCTTGGAGAGCCCAGTCGTCCACCCGCTAGCCAGCCTAGATCCCCGCGGCCCGCTGAGGCTCGGAGCCATCCAGCGACCCGGCGAGTGGCCTCAGGTAACACGGGTGGGACTGGGCCCTCAAGGCCATCCTGCCGGGCGGAGGCCCTGGCCCCCTCCCCCTCCACTCTCCATTCCCATCCTTATCTCCTGCACCCTGTTTCGTCTCCCTGACCCCTGGTTCCGCCACAGGCGGCAGCATCTGGAGGGCCTGCACCCAGGCAGGGGACCACCGCCTCTGTCCAGGAACCACGGAGCCAGGGACGGAGACAGAGCTGCCTCCTCACCCCCAGCTCAGGTAAGAACCACCATTGCTCTGGCCCCCAAAACACACACACACACACACACACACACACACACACACACGCGGGGGGTGTAGTGTCATCGTTGCTAGAGGAGGCGCCAATCACCCTCCCTCCTGTTGCCTTTGGAGGTGGGGCGTCCTCAGCCCCATGGCAACCTTCCACCCCACAGATAGCCCCCACCCACACTGCCGGGCCCCACCAGCAACTCACACACTTCACACCACTGGCTCCTGTCCCCAAAGACAGCCTCCAGCTCTAGAGAGCCCACTCCCTCCTCACACTGTCCCCTGCACTGTCCCCATTTCCCACCCCAAAGCAGACAGAGCTTACAGTATACCTGAGGGAGGGCAGACCCCCTACCCCCAGTTTTTCTCCTCACAGATACTCTCTTGACAATCTCCCCCCATGGCCCCCAGTGCCTGGCAGAGGCCCCATATTTGGCCTCCCATCCTGGCTGGAGGATGAACCAGGGCCACCATCCCCCAGCAGACCACTGTACCCTGTCAGCCGCTGCCAAGGCCCCAGCCTCCACACCTCTTCCATTCCCTTCACCCCTCACAGCCAGAGCACCCAGCCCTCCCATTCTACCTCTCCAATTTCTTTCTGAATTCTATGCGCTCTGGCCTTTTTGTGCCTAGCTGCTCCTTCTCTCCCATCTTCCTGTGTCCTCCACAGGGACCCTGCCAAAGCTCCATGTGGGCTGTGTGATCCCTTGCCCTAAGGTGGCCTGCACCTGGAGGGCAGAAGAGCTGGGTTCAAATCTTGCTTTTGCCTCAGTTGCTGTGTGACTTTGGTCAAGAAACTTCTGTCTCTGATCCTTCGTGAAATGGGGACAGGGGCAGGAGAGAGGGTGGACTGGGTGAGATGCTCTTGAACAGCCTTCCAACACACTCTGGTTCTATGGCTGATTATGATAAAAGAGGACCCTGAACCACGAGGACATTTCAGAGAGGATGCCTGGGGGCCTTCAGTTCTTGCTGAAGGAATATTCCTTCTTACCCAGGCCTAAGTACAGGCCACCCGCTCCCACACACTCTTCAGGCCCCTTCTATTAGGAGTGGTCCCTCCTAGATTACCAGAGCATCTGGCAGGGACAGCTCCCAATTGGAGGTGGCCGAGAGGGCCCACCCTTTGTTTGTTATCTCCCTCCTCTCACTGAAGAGAGGGAGAAGACCTGGCTGCTGCTGCTGTTGCTGTTGCTTGGGGAAGAGCAAAGGGAGGAGAGGAAAGAGAGAAAATCTCCTGACCAGGGAGCTGTTGTCACCATGGCAACCGCCTCAGCACCAGCTCCTCTGAAGCTGGGTGAGGGTGTGGGATTATTGCCTCCTTCAGTCCCTCCCACCCCTGCTGCCACCTCTCCATTCAAAACCCACAACCCCCAGCCCTCTGGAAGAAGCCTCTGAGCACAGAGGGGCAGTGGTTTTGTGGATGAGGCAGGGCCAGCTCCTTCACGGCTGCAAGACAGCCCTCAAGAGGTAGGCAGAGGAGCCTGCCCGTGTTCGGCAGGGCCACAGTGTCAACAGAACATGCCCCAGCTGGGTTCTGGCCTTCGTTTTGCTGATGGGCAGTAGTTGACCTTAGGTGAACCCTTCCTTTCCCTGGGTCTGGGTTCCATTGTCCCTGAAGTGGGTGCGATAGCAGGAGACCAGAGATAAACAAAGCAGCCCGACATAGTTCCAAGGAGGAAGAAGGGGGTTCTGCACCTCTCACATAATCCACCAAGGGACATTCATTGAACATCACTGTGTCCTAGGCACTGCCATTAGGTCTCTTTAAGGCAGTTCTGTGCAGGCACAGAGGGCAGAACGGGAACCACATGGAGGAGCTACAAGAGGGCAAACTCAGGAAAAATGGGAAAAGCACTTTTCTCAGTGTCCAGGCTGCTCAAAAGTGGACTGGGTCATATTGGGAGGGGATAAGCTCCTTGCCATTGAGCGAAAAGGCCTGGAGAACTTGTTCTGGCTCAGGCAAGATTTAATGCAAGGGCCTCTCCCAAATCAGGCTGTGTTCTACAATACCAGGTGAGGGGCAGACAGGTGTGAAGTCTACACACTTGTCGGGGCTCAACTCCACGGCCTTCCAGGGTCTACTCATGCCCAAAGTGCCGAGCCCATGCTGCTGACAGTCCAGACTGGAAAAGGCTGATTGTAAGAAAGTGGGCTTCAGCCAGGCCTGAAGGCTGCTTATGGCTTGCATTGACCCAGAAGAGAAGAAAGGATGTTAGTGGCAAGGAAAATAGCTAAGCAGATAGGTGAGGTTGGCTCTGGCTGTGGGGAGCCTGGCTTGAAAGGAGTATGCAGCTGCGTGGAGGGCAGTGGGAGGTGAAGCTTGACAGGTGGGCACCTTGAGACCAGATTCTAGATGATTCTGGTGTTTCAGGGGGCCCATGGGCATAGCCACCTCTAGGCTATATTGTACTTCTGGGCAAAGAATAAAGAAGCCATTACCTTGGAACAGAGAAATCAGAATAAAGGCACTTCTCATGAGCAGGAGAGTCCCATGGGGTGGGCATGGCCTGGCACGCAGAGCCCCAGCTGGATTTCAGGCCCCTTGGCTGTGCCCTGGCTATGAACATAGTGAGGTTCCAGGAACACTTCAAAATAAGAAATGACAGGACTTAATGGCAAGTTGGACCTAGGGGAAGAGGAAAGGGGAAGACTGAAGGTAACGAAAGTTGTGTTTCCTCCCCACTCCGGGGTGCGAGGGAGAGAAGGAAGGGGCAGTGGAAAGAGTCTGACCGTCTCAGATTGAGGGTGAGTCTGATTGTAGACTTGCTGACCCAGAGGTACTGGTGGGCACCCCTAGGAAAAATATCTCCTGGGTGTCAGAGCTCCTGTGGCCTGGAGCTCAGGCCAGATAGTCCCACTGAGGCCAAAAAGAGATCAGAGCTAAGATTTTCCCAGAGGCAGGTGGGGCTGGAGCAGTTCTGTGCTGCACAGGAGCAGCCATGATTTGGAGAGGGTGGTCTGGGCAGGTGGCGTGGATTCGGCCAAGTGCTCATTTAGACCCTTCTGCCGTGTTAACCCAAGCTAGTTTTCTCCACTCTCTCAATTTCAGTTTGCACGAAAATAAGGGGATGATCTTAAAGGGCACTGCCAGCTTTGACCTCTAACAGCAGCAGAGAGGATGAGGAGAAATGAAGCAGGAGGCCCAGTCCTCACTGGGTCTGGGGCCGAAGAGGGGCAGGGAACAGGAGACAGAGAATTGTGGAGAAGGCAGCGCAGGGCAGGGAGGAGGAAAGGGGCAGAAGGTGAAAGCCACACACAGAGAGATGTGTGCACTCTGACAGATTTGCAGCCTCATACATTGACGCGCTCCCACACACAGACCCAGCCCCTCACGCAGACGCTCAGGCACATCCCACAGGAGACAGCGGGGAGGCTCTGCCTCCCCCATCAGACACCTCTGCCTGTAGCTTCTCCAGCTTCCTTGACTATACCCAGAGCCTTCAGAATCCTTTCGGGGAGAGGGATGGAGCCTACCTCCTTCTGTCCATGGTGTTCCAAAGGCATCCTGGCCCCAGTGTACTGTTTTGGACCCCACAGCCCCAGGTTCCTGAAGATGACATGCTTCTTCATCCCTGGCTTCTCCTGAGGTCACAGGATTCCTCATCCTCTGCATGTGGTAGGTGAGGAAGGATGTTGCTACCTTCGTTGCTCCTGCATCTTCCTCATGACCCAGTAGAGGATTCTGAGGCCCAGAGATAACCTGTAACTAGCTCGAGGTCACCCAGCAAAGGAGGGGGCAATGGACAGACCAACCTCAGATTAGGGTATTGCCAGCAGTAAGGATTAGAGGCTACACTGGCAGGGGTTGAGCTGTGGAAGTGGAATTCCTTCTGCCAGTCCAAGGGCTTCCTTTTCCAGAGTAGCTTAAGGACAGGCTACCCTGAGGTGGGGGCCTGGCTCTCCTCCAAGGAGACTCCAGGCAAGTCAAAGGCACCTCCCAGGCCATGTCCTGGGAAACCCAGGCTCTGGAGGAACATTCCTCTCATGGAGGTCAGACAATAGTGTCTACCCAGCCTTCAAGGCCTAGCCTGGTCTTTTGGGCAGAGGCTGTACCACTCTCTGCAAATACTTCCCCTGGCACAGGCCACTTGAGGGGTTCATGGTCCAGCTGGGGAATGACTCTTGATCTTCCTCAAACCTGCTTCTCAGCAACAACACTTCTATTCATTGCATCCCAAATCTAAGCCTCTGCCCCAACTCCTCTGTCCCTCTCATCCCCACATCTCATCAGTCACCAAGTCCCGCCAATGCCCACTCCTAACCTCTCTTAGTCCATACACATCTCTCCACAACCCCTACCCTAGCATTGTCGTCTCTCGCCTGAACTATGTAGCAGGCCCCTCCTTGCTCTTCCTACCTGCCCCCACCCCAGGTCATCTTGCACACTGTGGCCAAAGGCAAAATTCTAAAACACATACCTTCTCTCTGGGTTCCCAGCACCTAGGTCAGGACCTGGCATATTGTAAGCATTCTGTTAGTGTTGTGCAATGAGTGCTATCTTCCTAGTCCTTGCTTTAAAACTGCCAGGAGCTTCTGTTCCTACATGTAAAGTCCAAACTCCTTGACATGGATTGAAGGCCCTGTGCAATCAGCCATCTACTTCTTTGACCCAGCTGTGAGTTATTGGGGGTTGACTTGTGTCTGCTTTATCTCCTTCACCAGCACAGGGTCTAGCACACCGTCAGCCTTAGTAAATGCTCAGGGAATGAATGGGTTAATGAAAAGCAGACAGAATCTCATCAGGTTCCTCACTGCCACAGACTAGGATTTCTGTTTGTGCAGAGGAAGGAAGGAGAGAAGCTTCCTGTTGGGGTGGCCCTGGAAGGCCCTGAGGAAGAACCTGGGAGACAGCACCAGGGACAAAGGAGGAGCTTGCTTCAGGTCCTGGCAGGAGAGGAGCGTGCCAAGGAGGGTGGGGGCTGAGTGCAGAAAGGCTGACTAGCAAGGAGAGGAGCCAGGGCTTTATTCCACAGGCCTGGGGAGCCACGGGAGGCGCGCACAGGAGCGGAGAGGATGGAGACTGTGCATGCTGCAGCATCGGTACCAGGAGAGCTGAAGACCTGGAAGCAGCTGGGGACCCCTGGGCGCCAGGAGAGGAAACTGCCGTGTGGGGAGGGGAGGGACCTGCTGTGGGGTTTGAGAAGAGAGGAGAGGAGGCCTGGTTATTGTGGAGTGTCAAGAGGGTCAGGGACCACCCCCTGTGTGGGAGAAGGGACAGGAGCACGGTGCTGAGGGAGGGTGGGCCCTCCTGTGGGAAGGGTGGGGTGAGGGATGGAGCCCCGCTTAGGAAGGCGGGGCTTGCCGGGGTGGTACTGAGAGGAAGGGACCCTGTCGAGGAAGGAGGGACCCTGGCTGCGGGACAGTTGGGCTTGTTATGGGAGGGAGGTGTTGTGGAGAAAGGGAACCCTGTCTGCCATAGGGGGTCTCAGCGACTGCTGCCGAGGTGAGGACCTTGCCTGGACCAAGTCGCAGGGAGCCCTTTGTGCCCCAGGCCCCGCCATGGGGAAGACCAACAGCAAGCTGGCCCCCGAGGTGCTGGAGGACCTGGTTCAGAACACGGAGTTCAGCGAGCAGGAGCTGAAGCAGTGGTACAAGGGCTTCCTGAAGGACTGCCCCAGCGGCATCCTCAACCTGGAGGAGTTCCAGCAGCTCTACATCAAGGTGGGCGGGCCGGGCGGGGCCCGGGGGCGGGGGCGGCGGGGCTGGCGGGGACGGGGGAGGTGCGGAGGCGGGGCGGAGGGCAGGGCTGGCCAAGGCTGAGGCTGCGTCCCGACGCCCCCGCCCCGACTCAGTTCTTTCCCTACGGCGACGCCTCCAAGTTCGCGCAGCACGCCTTCCGCACCTTCGACAAGAACGGCGACGGCACCATCGACTTCCGGGAGTTCATCTGCGCCCTCTCGGTCACCTCCCGCGGCAGCTTTGAGCAGAAACTCAACTGGGCCTTCGAGATGTACGACCTGGACGGCGACGGCCGCATCACGCGCCTGGAGATGCTGGAGATCATCGAGGTGCGCGGCGGGCCCCGTCTCCCAGCCTCCTGCCGCCCCCGCCCCGCCCCCGCCTCCGCCCCCGCCGCAGGCCCGCGCTAGTGCGGTACCCCTCGGCCCGACGCGGGAGGTGCTGCCAGGAACCCCATGGTACAGAAGAGGAAACGTAGCTAGTGGCGGTTCTGGCCCCAGAGCCCGTGTTCTTCGCCCCTTCATTCTTTCAACAGACGTGTATCGAGTGCTTGCCGCGGTGCCAGGCACCGTTCAAAGTTCCTGCTTTCGTGGGACACTCCTTCTAGTGAGAAATTTTTGTTTTGTTTTTTTGAGACAGAGTCTGGCTTTGTTGCCCAGGCTAGAGTGAGTGCCATGGCGTCAGCCTAGCTCACAGCAACCTCAAACTCCTGGGCTCAAGCGATCCTCCTGCCTCAGCCTCCCAAGTAGCTGGGACTACAGGCATGCGACACCATGCCCGGCTAATTTTTTCTATATATATATCAGTTGGCCAATTAATTTCTTTCTATTTATGTTAGAGACAGGGTCTTGCTCTTGCTCAGGCTGGTTTCGAACTCCTGATCTCGAGCAATCCGCTCACCTCGGCCTCCCAGAGAGCTAGGATTACAGGCGTGAGCCACCATGCCCAGCTGAGAAAAAATTTTTAAAAGAAGTAAATAAGCCTATGCCGTGTGAGGTGATAAGTGCTATGAAGAAAATAAAGCAAAGTAAGGGGAGAGAGTGAGGGAGGAAAAAGTGATTTTATGGGAGGTGAAAGGCAAGCAGCAGCCTGAGTAAGTGAGGGAGCTAAGCCCTCGGTCTCCGGGAAGAGCGAGGAGCCGTACCTGCAGGCTGGAGTGTGTGTGGAATCCCAGGAGTGGCAGGGGTGCCCGGGTGGCAGGAGAGCAGTGAGTGAGGGGAGGGTGACAGGGAGGTGGTCAGAGAGGGAGCCAGGAGTCTCATAGACTGGGGTAGAGACTTCAGTTTTATTCTGGTGGAGGCGATGGAGGGAGAAAAGGCTTGGGGTGGGGCTCGGGGGTAGCAGAAGCAGGGGACCAGTTAGGAGGCTCCAGCCTTAGTCCAGTGGCCAGCTGAGGGAGGCTGCAGTCACAGAGGGGCAGCGTAAGTGGGAGGGAGTGCTTGGATGTGGGGTCTGTTGCAAAACTAGGGCTGACAAGATTTGCCGAGGGGTGGATGCAGAGTGTGAGGGAAGGAGGGCAGTCAAGAACGGCATCAGGAGGCCAAGCGTGGTGGCTCACACCTGTAATCCTAGTGCTCTGGGTGGCTGAGGGAGGAGGATCGCTCGAGGTCAGGAGTTTGAGATCAACTTGAGCAAGAGTGAGACCCCATCTCTACTAAAAATAGAAAGAAATTAGCTGGACAACTAAAAAATATATATATAGAGAAAAAATTAGCCCAGCATGCTGGCACATGCCTGTGGTCCCAGCTACTTGGGAGGCTGAGGCAGAACAATCACTTGAGCCCAAGAGTTTGAGCTTGCTGTGAGCTAGGCTGACGCCATGGCATTCTAGCCTGGGCAACAGAGCGAGACTCTGTCTCAAAAAAAAAAAAAAAATGGCTTCAGGGTTTGTGGTCCAAGGCATGGGCAGAATGGAGTTGCTACATACAACGACAGGGAATGCTGCAGGAGGAACAGACCAGGGTGAAGAGTTGGCTTTAGACATGTTCCATCTAAATAAACATTATTAGTGTAAGTTATGAGATGCTCATTAAATATCCAGTCTTAATGACCATGTATAACCTCCCAGTCTCCTCACCATGCCCCAGAGTTTCCCCTGCCTGCCCCCAGATCCCTTCACTCACACCATCCTCCCTGCCCCTGTGGGTGTTCACACCTCCCTCCTCACCCTTCCAGGCTATCTACAAGATGGTGGGCACTGTGATCATGATGCGCATGAACCAGGATGGGCTCACACCCCAGCAGCGCGTGGACAAGATCTTCAAGAAGATGGACCAGGATAAGGATGACCAGATTACGCTGGAGGAGTTCAAGGAGGCGGCCAAGAGTGACCCATCCATTGTGTTGCTGCTGCAGTGTGACATGCAGAAGTAGAGGCTGGTGAGGGGCAGGGCCCCTGGCCAGGAAGGGCATGGCCACCTCCCAACCTGATGACCTCTCTGGCTGGCCTTCCCTGGGGGAGGGGCACTCCAGCTTCACTCTCTGGCCCACCCACTCCTCTGCCCAAGCCCTATCTCCCCTCAGTCAAGATCCTTGAGGGACCACCTCACTTTGCAAAAGAGACAGGTCCTCAGATATCCTGTCGTCTAGCCCCAACCCCAGCCTTAGCCCAGAACCAACATCCACTGGGCATAGGGAGTTGGCTTTCGCAGGGTTAAGGAGGGAGGCTGGGGTCCTGCTTTGAAATTCTGTTATTCCTGGGATTGTGCTTTATGGAATGTGGTCCAACAGGCCCATCACAAGGCCAAATTAGGTCTGTCCTTTCTGTAGGACCCACATCTCTTAAAGGTGGTCTCCACCCTGTCCCCTCGACTCTACCTGGCCCCTCTGGCCCCAGCCTTTGGAGCTTTCATTTGTTCTTTCTTCAGCTAATGTTTATTGAGCACGTGTTCAATGCCAGGCATCTCTAAGTGCCAAGGAGGTGGTAGTTTACAAGACACATTCCATGTCCGTGGAAGCTCTCAGGGTAGTGAGGCAAACTTCCGGTGGTCAGGGTCTTAGGCTGGGATGTTGAGCAGAGCTGAGCGGAGGGTGCTGCAAGGCTGCTTAGTTTGAGAGGAGCTATCACATCTTCCATCTGGGCTCCACCCAGAGCCACAGAAGGATGGAATGAAAAGCATTTGGATGTTTGGGAGCCAAGTGAGTGGAAGTCTTAAGAAAAATGAAATTTATGTAATACCTATTTTTTTAGAACCCTTTGAAAGAACTAAAGTCATTTTATTAGTTTAGGATGTTAAGATGTACTCTATATTACTTGGTTTCTTATAAAATGATTAAATGAATAGAGAAAACACTAATTTTCACGGGGAAAAAGCTGAGAACAAAAAATGGAAAATACCACCAAATTGACCAGATAACACTTTTTCTTATCAGGCTAAGTCCTGAGCTGTCACCTTCAGCAGTTTTGCTGCTTCTGCTGCTTCCTTTTCATTACCTTTTTCAATTCAATGAACAATTCTACTGCACACTTACTCTGGTTGGGTGCTGACTGTAGAGACAGAAAAAAACAAGATTTGCCAAGAGTGAGAGAAGTGTATATCCCACATCTTGGTAGTTCGTTTCTGGATTTGGTGTAGTGTCAAGGATGAGCTTGTTCTTTCACTGCTACCAAAGCAGAAGGAGTTAGAAGCAAAGGACCTCCCAGCCACTGTTAGGCACTGCATTTGTGGACCAAATGCCTAAAACTGTGCTGGACATGCTCCATTTGAAAGGCTTTTTCTAACCCCAAATCCTAGATCTGCCAGGTAATTCACCGTCTTCCAAGTGCACTGGCTCTGCTTTCCAATGCCTGCTTTCCAATTTTGGATCCATGAGCTCTACAGCTGCATGTTTTGACTGCCAGAACAACTAATTTTGCTTCTTCATCAAGTCTTTCACACTTTCTCCTGTACTTGTGATCAGAAATTAGCTTTGACGTGCAGCGACAGTTGATTTCCTCTTGAACTACTGGTGAAAACAGTCTAGTACACAGGTGCTTTCAGCCCAGGGTGGGAGTAGGGAATGATTGCTGAGCCCAGGGTGGGAGAATTGCATCTACAGGAAAGAGATGCAGCAAGCCGCTCACTTCTGAGGGCTTACCTGTCCTGCCTCTCTGCAGGTGAAGACTCCTGGGGATGCTGACCTTTGGCCCTAAGCTCTATTGGGCCCTTGGAGGTAGCAAGGCCACTGAGTTGCCACCCTTTTTCTATCTTCCTGCTTATGACCAGCCATGTGGCAGGCTGGGGAATTCACATCCTCAGGCAGTAACTAGCAGATATTTACCAGTAATGCCTCCAGAGATGGTCCATTGCTCTCAGGAGTGGCTATTAGGTGTCTTGTGCCATTGATCAGCACCACAGACACATAGATGCCCAACAGCCTGCCTCAGCTGGGACCTGAATCTTCTGGCAGAAGGCTTTTCACTAAATGGGGTTCCTTCCCCCCAGATGTTGAATCTAATCTAACTCACAATCATATAGATTTTCAGGGCTTTCAAAGGCTTGCCATCTACCCCATCTCACTTTATCCTCGGAGCCCAGGGAGGTAGAGATTTTCATTCCCTTTCATTTTCCAGACTTGGAAGCTGAGTTTCAGAAAGTGGGAGACTCTTGTACAAGAGCACACAGTCAGGAGGTGACACAGTGCCAAGACTTGAACCCAAGCTCTAAGAGGATTTCTTCCCTTCGGAGTCTCTTCCCTGCCTATTTCTGTGACTGAGTTGTGCAGAGGGTGACAGTGGGACAAGCTAAGTTGATTTTCGTCTTTTATAACACAAGCTTCCTGCCAAAAAGTTTCTGAGCTTGTGGTCTTCCAAAAAGAAATAGGAGTTTGGTTGAAGTCCCATATTTTCAAGCCTCATGTTTTCTGCTCTGGGAGGCTCTGCTAACAGACCAGTGCTATCCTGGGAGGCCTCTGACTCAGAACCCTGGAAGCATCCTGCATTGTCTTTGCAACCACCTTCCTCCTGGAAGAGCTGGCAGGCAAGTCCTACCAAGAGGGCATGTTTGATTACTCTAGGCTTCTGGACACATGCCTATGGGCGATATTTGCTGGGCAGTCCCAGTATTCAGACAGCCCCTCAGTGTGAGCACAATGCCAGGCCAGGAACTGGGACCACCATGTTGCTGATGGGAGGAGCCACAGGCAGGCTAGGCCTTGCTCCCACATGCTCCTGGCTGTCCCACGGACTGTGCCTAGGAGCCCCTGTGGTAGAGCACTGGCCCTGCCTTGAGAAGAAAGGCAGGCCTCCCATCCCTGCCCCAGCTGAGAGGGACTTGCCACAAAGCACAAGGTTAGCAGAAATTTATGTATGACTTGCACAGACACAAAAATATGCAGACAATTAAAGCACTGATATATCCAAACTCTTCTTTGAAATTCTGTATCTCCTTACAACAGCTCTGTGAATTGCAAAGTTCCAGAATCAGCCTTCTTACATATTCTGCCCACATTCATCCTTTTGGGCTAGTTGATGAGCTCTTTGTTTCTTATCTCTAAAAATCATCAGCAAGGGCTACTTCAGATGGCCACTTTGAACTCTAGTCAGGATTATTTAACTTACCTTTAAATCAAAAGCGAATAAAAAGCAAGTTCATGAGCAAAGGCACGAAATCCTTCCCTTTCCTGACAATGGCAGAGTCCCTAGAGGTAGAAATTCATCTTGCTGCAGGGTGGGGTAGGGTGAGAAAAGAAAGAGAGAATAAGGGAAGAAGCTGAGGTTGCAGGGCAGGATAGTAAGCTGACACTGTAAATATTTTTACACAAAAATTTATTAAAACAACAGATATTTCCTGAAGATCTGCCCTGGGTGAGGCTTTGTGCTGACTCTACAGATCACTTTGGGGGCAAGAATACATTTGCTACATTCATCATTCTTGAAAAAAAACTAAGTCAAATCTTACAATTGAAGTCTCAGAAATATATGGGATTTACTTTCTGAAATTTTCAGGATTGTCTTTTTACCTTTGCCAGAGTTGGGGGCTGGACGGGGGCCTGGCAGGGTGTATGAACCTTCCTGCTTGTGCAGGTTGGTCAGGCCCAGGGCCTTCTAAGGAGCAGGGGGGAGGAGGGCTGGGGAAGCAGGGAAGAGGGGCCCAACTCACCACGGGCACTCCAGTGTAGCCCCCTGTCCCCTCCAGATGTGCTGCTTCTGGCTGTGCCCACAGTGACTGTCCTCACTGTTCCACCCTGTGCTGTGTTTTTTCCCCACTGACAGTGAATAAAAGGTGTGACTGTGCTGGGGGCTCCTGCTCTTCCCTAAGCTGGGGGAGGGATGGGCGAGGGTGGACTTGGGGGAGCTCACACAGTGGGAGCACCTCAGGGACCTCCTTGAGGCCGAGGTCCTTGATCTAGCACAGATTCTGGGAACATGGCACAAGACCTGCTTCATTCAGTGTGTTCAAAGAAAGTGGGGAGCAGATTACAAGAAACTCTAAAAATGGAAAATCAAGAATGGCTGGGCTTCAGGAGCACTGGAACTGGTGACTGGGCCTCTCCATCTCACCTCTGGGCTTCGAGGGCTCTTGTCCCCTGGGCAATATTGACATCTGCGCTCTTTTCCTTGGGTTCTCTTTAGATGGCCTGGGTTCTCCTGGACGTAGTGGCTGCATTTCCAACTCCGTAACAAGACTCACTAACAACCCCACTCTGAGTCTCTTAGCTCCAGTTCTTAAGGAAAAAAATCTGATTGGTTTGGTTTAGCTTTTAGAGGGACCCTTGAGGTCAGGTGTCCTCCCTTGACCCCATAACCTGTGGCCAGACTGGACACTGATATGTTGGGCCCCAGAAGGAAGCTAAGGGCAGCAGACTCTGGGACTTAGTTTCTCCTTCTGTCCAGTGGAAGGTGTCATAAAAGCCCAAATGAGTGGATTAGTGGCCAGTAGGAGGAAAGGCCAAGACCCAAGGCTATCATTAGTCCATATGGTGCCCTTTGTACGAATTAGGCAAAGGTGCCTCCTCGGAGCGGAAGCGGCCCTATAACTATGTAGCTAGGCAGTAGATGGCACCTTTGGGCTGATTAGAATAGTCCTTCTTCTGGACACACATTTCCCATCATGCCAGCATGCACAGTTTGCAAGTAGAGCACAGGCTGGATTTTATCTCCCACCTGCCCTGCTAGTCAAAGGTCATTATGCAGTGCATGACCTGCTCCACCATTCACATAAGCCGAGCCCAGAGCCCTGAGACCTCCTGAACCGACCCAAATATAGTTGGGGTGGGGGTGGGAGTTGGTGGTAAAGTGTTCCTCTCAGAACATCCCCCAGCAGCCAGAGAGGCACTGTTCCCCACAGGGAGTTGGGGGCGGTGGCGGCTGGAGCTGCCTGCTTCCTCCTGAAACGCTCAGTTGCTTCTACAAGGGTTTCTTCAAGGACATTGGAGGGGGCCAGCCTCCTTGGCAGGAAGCAATTAGGACAGAGGAAGGAGGCTGACCTGGCCGGAGGGCAACTGTGAACCTAAGGAGGTGACTCAGAAGCCCAAGAACTTAGGGCTGCTATTCCTAGCTGAAACCTCACTGGGGGATGGGAAGTCTTGTCCCCTGCCTGCCTGGGCACACAGGTCCTGGGTTGTCTTCTCCCCCAAACTCCCCACTCAGGCCCTCATAATCCCTAGCCCAGCCCAGTTAGTCCATCTCCTACTTTCAGTCTTGCCTTTGTCCCACCCACTTGCCACTAAAAAGCCAGGGTGATGTTCCTAAAGCGCAAGTCTGCCCATGTCAGCTCTCCCAAGGCGCCCTTCTCCCCTCAGAATGATATGCAACTTCAATGTCCCTCAAGGCCCTGCGTGACCTGGCACCAGCTGACCTCAGAAGCCTTTCCCTTCCTCTCTCTTCCTCCTCTTGCACCCTACACTTGAGCTACCCTGGATTGCTCCCCATTTTCCCAAGGGGTCTCATATGCTTCCATGCTTGTACGCAAGCCACTGGGCTTCCCTGGGTCACCTACTCCTCTCTCTTGATCATCTCCTTTGCTGTGAGACCCTCCCAGCCCTCAAACAATTGGCCCTGCTTGTGTACACAGTCCCTCATAGTCAACAAACACTTCCCCTGTGATCTGCTGTCAGCTGAGCCCAGCACTCATTTAAGTGTCCATTTTTTTTAAGACAAGGAAACAGAGGCTCAGAGAATGATAAAAGCGAAACTTGAACTCAGACCTCCTAACATCAAGGGCACTGCTTATTGTGCTCTCTCAGTCATGGGCATGAGTCCAAGTCAGAATGTGAAAGGGGAATTAACAAACCATGAGCTGTGGGCTTCAGAGGAGGGAGGGTCCTGCCTGGTGGGGGTGGGTAGGTAAGGAGCAAAGGGGAACAATGGCTTCATGGAGGAGGTAGCAACTGCTGTGGGTCTTGCTAAATCCCAGCTAATAGGGCCAGGCATGCTGGAGCAGGGCTGCCCAGGAGAGCAGTTCAGGGAGCATGACCCCTGCAGTCATGCTTGAAGGGGTCTATTCCCAGCTTATTCATGTGAAGAAAAGCTGGACCTGGAGGGAAAATGTTGGCTGGAGTCCAGGGGAACACAGAGCCAGGGAATCCCTGTACCCAGCAGCTAGAAGGGAGCGACAGGCAGCAGTCTGGAAGGGTGGAAAGAACAGTTGAGGATCAAGCTCTCTAACCCTTCCAAATAAGGATCTAGAAAGTTCTTAAAGGGACTGACCCAGGAGCCTGGGCAGGATCCTTTGAAGTTAAGGAACAGGAACCTACTTGTGGCAGCATGAGTAAAAGAGAATAGATTAGTTGGGACTTTTGGTTGCAAGTGAACAAAATCCAACTCAAACAAGCTTAAGCAAAAAGAGAGGCATATTGGCTCATGGAATTGAGAAGTTAGGTACTGCTGGGTCCAGAGGCTCAATGTTGCCCTTTCTTCCCCCCTGCTTCTGCTTCTCTCTGTGATCCCATTGTCCTTCTTCCACCTTCTTTCGCCTCCCATGGAAAAAGATGGATTGCCAGCTCACATTGCCCCAAATTAATAACCCCAGAGAAAATAGAGCCACATCTCCTAGCATCCCTAAATCCAAGTGCTGCAGTGTGGCCTAGCTTGGGTGATGCGGTCTTCCCTGGATAGATCATTCACTGTGTCCAGAGACACAGGGCTCTACCACAGGCTCAGTCACACATACCTACTTCTTGACCGCGAAATCAGGAAGGCAGGGTTTGTATTAGGAGAGCCTGGGAGAGGTGGCTAGTCAAGCAAAACCAGTAGCCTCCACCTTTACTCTTCCGGGCATTTGTTGAAGTGGTGTGGAGAATCTCACTTAAATTTAGAGATGGGCACCATACCCTTGCCTCAGGATCAGAGGTGGCTCCCTCTCAGGAGAGTCTCTCATGGGGTCTCTACTGCCCTCTGCACATCTTTCCCCATCTCTATATACTGATCAAATCTTTCTGCTCTCAGAATTTCTGCCCCCTCTCAGCTTTACACTGAGCATAACTGCAGCCTGCTGAGGCTCAGCCAGGTCTCTTGGGAGCCCATGGCATTCCACAGCATCCTCAGCTTCTGTTCCTGTGGTTGACTACTCAGCCCCTGCTTCCGAATTCCAAATTCCTGAGAAAGAGGAATCTGATTGGCCCAGGTCATCTTTTCAAGGCAGTCACACAGGTCGAAAGTCATTGGGCAGCATGAGGATGTTCCCTTTTGTGTCAAGTACTCATCCCTCCCCAAATAACCACTCTGTATGTTCTTCCTAAGTGACCTCAACTTTCTCCTCCATGAGCCACCTGAGAATAATTGACCCTTTTCAATTATTTATTGCTCTGTAACAAGCAACCCCAAAACTTTGTGCTTAAAACAACAATTTATATTTTTCATGATTCCATGAGTTGGCTGTGCTCAGCAGGAAGGTTTTATTGCTGCACATGGTGTTGACTGTGGCCACCCACACAGCTGCATTCCACCGGGAGCTTAGCTGGGCTGGAAGGACCAGGCTGGCCTCATTCACATGTCTGGCAGTTGGTGCTGACAGTCACCTGGGGAACCTCAGTTCTCCTCCACTGGCTTCTTATCCTCCAGAGACTGTTTGTCTCACCATGTGGCCTTTCCAGCAGGATAGTCCAGACTTCTTTACATAGTAGCTGGCCCCCAAGAGGGCAAAAATGGAATCTGCATTTAAGACTCTTAAGACTTAAGATTTGGAAACCACATAGCATCAATTCTACTGCATTGGCCAAAGCAAGTCACTGGGCCAACTGAGACTCAACTCCACCTCTGGATGGGAGGAGTGTCAGTCACATTGCCATAGGGCAGGCAGGATGTGAAAGGTTTTAGGGCTGTCTCTGAAAACAGTCTACTAAGCCTGGAGAAGACAAGTCTAAACATACTTCCTCATAATCCTGAAACTTTTATTATTGTTATTTCTCTTTTCCTCCCATACAAGCTTCATTGGTTCCTTCCAGGACACGATGGAGGCTGGGCAGATTCCTCCATTCTGTAACCGCTCCCAGTCAGCGGCCCTCCTAGCTAAGCCAGTATTTTCTCTAGCCTCTTCCACCCACCTGTGCACACCTCCGAGGCAGGCTACTTGTCTGCTACCTGGCCTGTGCTTTGGGATAGATGACATTTGTGCCTGCATCCTGGGACTAGTACAGGGCTCTGCACAAGAGGGACGCTGCTCTGGAATTCCAGGATGGTAATCCAAGATTGCTTGGTTCGAGGCCCCTCTTCAGCCCTCGCTGTCCAGCCCCTACATAGCACATAACTAGCCGCTCCAAGCTGTGCAGGTGAGACCTCGGAACGCGCGCCCCCTGCTGGCCGCCACGGGGCCAGCAAGAATTCGGATTCTGAGTTCCCCGGAGTCTTTCCCGTCTGCGTCGCCCGCCGGGCCAAGGGGATGGACTTCAAGGACCCCTCCGCCTTGGTGTGGAAGAGCCGCCCCGCTGGACCCTCCTCTGCGCTCCCCGCTGGGAGCAGGCTTCTGCTCAGGGATGGAGCTGCCCACCCATCACCTCCTGCCGGCCTGCGGCATGGACGGGTTCTTAGGGAACGGGACACCGGCTCGGGGTCCCAGGGTTTTGGCATCCGAAAGGGAAACTGCATGGCTGGCTTTTGGGTGGGGGTGGCTAGGTTTCCACTTTCTTTCTGGGGGATCGCTATCCCGGGGGGAAAATGTTGTCAGGCCTCTCCTCTCTTGGTGCCCTTGAGCACCTGCGAAGAAGACATCGTTCTCGAAATCCCGAATCCGCAGAAGTCCTCAACCTTCAGGCCGCCTCCTCCAGAAGGCCGGAGAGGCACCCCTCCCACTCGCCTCGGGCGTGGGCCGATGGGGGAGGAGGGCTCAGCTGTCCCTCGGCACACGCACAGCAGCAGCAGCGGCAGCGACACACAGGCGACGCGAGTTTGACACCCCCGGCGGGCGGGGCTCCGGGCTCACCGCGCGCCCGCCCCCTTCTCTCGCCCGGGACGCGCCTCCCTCCTGCCGCCCAGCCGGCCAGCTCCGCGTCTCCGCCGCCGCCGGCTCCGGCCGCGCCGGGTCAGAGCCGGAGCATGGAACCTGGGGAGCCCCGGGAGCCCCGCGAGCCCGGGCCTGGAGCAGAGACCGCCGCGGCTCCGCGCTGGGAGGAAGCCAAGACTTTCTACGACAACCTCGCGCCCAAGAAGAAACCCAAATCGGTAAAAGCAAGGCATGGATATGGGGAGGCGGGGAAAGGGTCAACCCGGAGGAGGGGTCGTTCCTTGGGAAGGGACCCGTGGCGCCCCTCCGGGAGGGGACGCAGCTCCTCAGCCCCAGAATGCGCCCAGCGGTTGGCGCGGGCTCGGGTTTATTTTGGGAGCTCTGCTCCGGTGTTTTTTTACCCCACTCGGGTTCCACGCCAGGATCCCCCTCCCCCATGCTGTCATCAGGGCCCAGCTCCTCCCGGGCAGTGGGGAGCACGGACAGCACTTGTAGGCAAAGCCAGTCAGCAGCGTCTGCCCGAGCGCCCCAGGCTCGGTCCACCAGACTCTGGAAACCCAGCTCCTCGCTGTGCGCTCTGGTCTCCGCCATCTGGGCCTCGCGCCTCGGACCGAGCCTCTGCATTCCGGCTCTGGATCAGAGCTCCGCGCCCTGTGCTCAGGGCGCTGCGGTCCCCGTGTCCTAAGGGAAGGGAGCTGCTTGCTCCAGGCAGTGGGCTCCGCACTCTGCGTCTGGGCTTGGCGCCCCCGTTCCGACTCCCAACGCAGGACTGTGCGCCCAGCCTGCGGGCTGTGCTCCCCTAGCAGTGGCATTAACATCCCTGTTAATGCAACCCGTGTGGTGATGTCAGCCCTTTGAGGCCTCACGCAAAGGAGGGAACTCTTCTCCTCCACCGGACAAGCTCATGATGCCCTGGTCTGCCCCTGCGCCTTGCTCACTCCAGCATCCCAGATCTCAGAGCTTGGGGAGGAGACTGAGGGTTGAGGTTGGCCCAGAGCAGTCTCCAGCTTGATCTTAAAGCATCCGATGCTCCCTTCCAAAGCCCCTTCCCCAGGAGGCCCACCCTGTAAGGAGTCATTCACTTCACGCCTGCAGGCTGTGGCTGGGAAGTAGGGATTGAGAAATTAACTTGGCTGAGTCTCTGGCTCTGGGCAAGGTGGGTGCACAGTAGAAGACCCTGCACGATCCCGTGGGAGCACAGGGAGGGAATGACTTCAGACAGGGAAAGCTTTGTGGAGGTGGCAACTGAGCTGGTCTTAAAGCCTTAGCAGGTGGAGTTTCCCAGGCAGAGCTAGGGAAATAGGATGGGCAAAAGGCACAGAGATGTCTTTGAAACTCAGGACTCTGTTCCCGAGAAAGTAGTGAGGGAGAGAACACAGGATTGTTGGGAAAAGAGTTGAAGGAACGTGTGAGAGACCATGGAGGGCCTTGAGGGTCTTGTTAAGGATTCTGGCCCTTAGGCAGTGGAGTTAGGGATTTTCAAACTAGGTTGCGTGGAGCCCCATGTTTCAGGAAGTCTGCACACATGTGAATCCGATTTATTTTCTTTCCTCAAACTATGTTTTAAACAATTAAAAAGGTGTAATAAACTCATTCAAATGTGTTAGGTGGACATTTTAGCACCTTGAAGACCACTCACATATTAACTTGTGCTACAGGTTGATTATTTTTTAGCAAACTTAAGAATAAAGTGTTTTGTGTGCTATTTCCTGTGGTAGGAAAGCATTTTTATTTTTTTTTTTTGAGACAGAGTCTTGCTGTCACCCTAGGTAGAGTGCAGTGGTGTCATCATAGTTCACTGCAACCTCCAACTCCTGGGCTCAAGGGATCCTCCCACCTCAGCCTCCCAGAGTGCTAGGATTATAGGCGTGAGCTACTGTGCCTGGTCTAGGAGAGCATCTTGAGATTGCAGAGCTTGCAGTTTAAAACAAAGAAAAACAAAAAAAACCTCTTACCATTTGCAACCACTTATTGTTGTGAATCAGGACTTTCTCAATACTGTGCAAAAGCAACACAGAAACAAATTGGCTGGATGCTGAAGCTTCAGTCTGCACTAATATCCTAACCCATAATTTCAAATTTGTTGTCATCCAAACAACTGTGCTCCTTTCATTGATTGACTTTATAATAAATACATTAATATATATATAATGCATTTGAATTTGTAAAATTAATGTATACCAATTAAATATGACAATATCTGGTTTACATGTTAGGGTTCGCCCAAGAGTTCATTTGACAAAAAGGGCAACCTACCTTTAAAAAATATACAAAAACCATTATTTAGCAATTGCAGGATTTTTCAGCAGGAGATTAACTTGGTCCCATTTTTATTCACTCTGGGGCAGCGTGTTGGAGGGATTGGAAAGGGCGAGCCTGGCAGTGGGCACACCAGTGAGAAGGCTGGTCCCTGCCTGAAGAGGAAGCTTATAATGCTGTGGACTGAGGGCTGGAGAGGAGGGGACAGAGGCTGGGGTCAGGCGTGGTGAATGCATCAATGCTGAAATTCCCTTTCTTCCCCAAGCACCAGGGAACAGGCGAGCCCAGGCCCGTCAGTCAGCCTCCGCCCCTAAGTCATCCCTCACCTTCACAGCTGTCTGGGAGGCAAGGAGCCTGGCGGCTTCCTGGCTGCTATTCCTTCCTGCAGTAGCCCCTATTCCCACAGGCTATTCTGGGGACATTAGGCCTTGCGGGCCCCATCAGGGTCTGGCCTGGACTTATTCTCATTCCCAGGGGCCTGAGTGAAATATTTAACCTCTAAGGCCCATCGGAGGCCCTCTCCTCACGGGGTCAGAGCACTTCCTCAGTCCAGAGCTACCCTGTCCCCGTCTCCTCCAGCTGCACGTCTCTGTCTCTGTCCCGCTAGAAAGAACAGCTTTTTGGCTCTGTTCATTATCTTGGGCCCAATAGGCAGAATCATGCTGGCCTAAATGGGAGGTCCTCAGGCAGGCCGGGTGGGGGTGGGCTGTCCTCTGTCATCCCTCTGTCCCCATCCGCCAACCCAGAGTCGTCCTCCTGTCCCTCAGCCCCCTTGAAAGGCAGAACGGTTCCCTGAGCCGTTCTGATCTGATTCCCAGTCCAGGATCTGGGCTTCTTTCTGATTTCTGGAGGACCTGTTCCTGACAGCACATGACCAGCTGACTGCCCTCTGCAGCCAGGTCCACGAGGGTCTCTACGTGGTGGCTTCTTTCACCTGTTCCGTCAGGTCAGCCCAGAGCCTGGACGGGCTGTGATCTGTCCCAGTAGGGACCTGCATTTCCTACAGCAGTGCATGCCCTCTTGTCCTTAGACTCTACCTCACTCTTACTGTGGCACAGCAGTCTCAGTGGGAAGACGGCCCTGCCCTTAGAAACCTCCATCTGAGGATGTGGGGGTCCCCCAACATTTTCCCCCATCTGGAAACAGAGGGCTGGGGAAGGTGTTTCCAGGAAAGTGGCTGAAGTAGCAGGTGACTAGGTCTTCTGGGAGCTACTGAGGAGGGAGGGGCACACCAAAAGGACTGCTGTGTGGACAGAGGCCAAGGACTTGGGATCTCATCCTGACTCTGCCTTGACTTTGCTGTGTGACCTAGAGTAATACTCTGCCCCTCTCTGGGCCTATTTCTCCATCTGTAAAAGAGAGAAGTAGAGACTCTTGGGGCCAAGGCAGCCAGGACATTTTTCTTGCAATGGCCATGGGTGGGGTGGGATGGGGTCTAAGTAGGCCAGCCAGAGGGGTCCCAGGACTTGGCAGTCTGGCAGGGACTGTGGGTCAGAAAGTGAGTGTGTGAGCTTGGCTGCATGCCAAGGCTGAGCAGCTGACTTGGGAACCTGCCTGAAGGGGCTGGGAGGGCAGCTGGCTCTCTGTTCTTGAAGGCATGATGGGCCTGTCCCTGGACCAGTAAGCCCAGGGGTGGGGCAAGCTCAGCTCCTGAGGCCTACAGGCTCCCTGGGTTATGAGGGGGTCTCTCCACCCTCGCACCAACCCCACCCTTAGGACACACAGATACATAGTAGGGTGGCCAGCAGCTGGGAGAGGCATTTGGGTGGAGTCTCGGAGGAGAAGCACCTGCCCCACCACTGCCTTACACAGACCTGGCTGGCCACATACGCTGTCTTAATTGGGGTTAAAGGTCAAATGCAAGTTAAGGTCCACCACATGACCTTGGGGAACTCTTTTATCTTCCATTCCTATTTCAAGGCTCTAAAGCTACATTAGTCACTAATTATATGTAGCTATTTAAGTTGATTAAAATTAAATAAAATTAAAAATTCAGTTCCTTACTTAGTCTTACTAGTCACATTTCAAGTTGTTCCATAGCCACGTGGGTAGCACAAATTATGGAATATTTTCATTATCACAGAAAGTTCCATTGGACAGTGCTCTTCTAAGAGGTGGCATAACTCCCTGCCCTGAGGATGGATCACAGGAGCCACGGGGGCAGGGATCATGCCTGTACTGTTTCCTACCATGTCCCCTGCACAGTGTCTGTCACATGGTAACCACTCAACGTTGTCAACTGACTGGAGCCCAGGCTTAACCCCAGATTGAGTACATGACCACAGGGCTGTCAGAGCAGGCCAGAATGTGAGGTGCATCTATGAGTCTTTTTTTTTTTTTTTCAGAGGCAGGGTCTCACTCTGTCATCCAGGCTAGAGTACAGCAGTATCATCATAGCTCACTGCAGCCTCGAACTCCTGGGCTCAAGTGTTCCTCCTGCTTCAGCCTCCTGAGTAGCTGGGACTACAGGCCCCTGCCACTGTGCCTGGCTAATTTTTCTATTTTTAGTAGAGACAGGGTCTCGCTCTTGCTTAGGCTGGTCTTGAACTCCTAGCCTCAAGCAATCCTCCTGCCTTGGCCTCTCAGAGTGCTAGGATTACAGGTGTGAGCCACAGTGCCCGGCCCATCTATGAGTCTTGACCTCAATTTGAGCTCCTCTTTCCTCATCTATAAAGTGGAAATCATGATGCCAGGACTACTCAGGTCACAGAGATGTGGTAGGACTCTCTGGTTGTCTGTGAGTTGCTTGGGTACCCACATTCTGATCCCTCCTTAGGGACTATAAAACGGTTCAGCTGCCATCTGGGGTGGCATGCCGCTCTCTCTATTCCATTGGACTGGGTATCTTAGTCCATTCAGGCTATTGTAACAAAGTTCCTTAGACTGGGTGGCTGATAAACAACAGAAATTTATTTCTCACGGTTCTGGAGGCTAAGATCAAGATCAAGGTGCAGGCAGATTTGGTGTTTGGTGAGGGTACACTTTCTGGTTCATAGAAGGTGCCTTCAACCTGTGTCCTCAAGTAATGGAAGGGGCAAGGTGGCTCTCTGGGGGTCCTTTATAGAGAGCACTAATCCCATCATGAAGGCTCCAACCTCATGACCTAATCAACTACCTATTAATGTCATTGCCTTGGGGGTTAGGTTTCAACATATAAGTTTGGGGTGACACATATATTTAGACCATAGCAGTGGGGAAGGAGTTCTGGGGCCCTCTGTAACCCAGCACCTGCCTGCTCTGCTGGGCTCCTCTACACCAACCCCCATGCCTGGCCACTCACTTTGTGAATGCCATGTGCACATGCACACCTCCTCATGCCTTCCTTCACCCTACTCCTTCTTCAAGGCTTCACTCACAGGTGTCCTCTCCCATGACAACATCCTCTGAACCCCTGTCACCAATACTTTGCTTTCACCTCTGTTCTGTCCCTTGTATCTTAGTCTGTTTTCTGCTGTTATAATAGAATACCACACACTGGGTAATTTATAAAGAACAGGCCGGGCACGGTGGCTCATGCCTGTAATCCTAGCACTCTGGGAGGCCGAGGTGGGAAGATTGCTCGAGGTCAGCAGTTCGAAACCAGCCTGAGCAAGAGCGAGACCCTGTCTCTACTATAAATAGAAAGAAATTAATTGGCCAACTAATATATATATATATATATATATATATATATAAAATTAGCTGGGCACGTAGTCACAGCTACTCGGGAGGCTGAGGCAGTGGGATTGCTTGAGCTCAGGAGTTTGAGGTTGCTGTGAGCTAGGCTGATGCCACGGCACTCACTCTAGCCTGGGCAACAAAGCAAGACTCTGTCTCAAAAATAAAAAATAAAAAAAGAACAGAAATTTATGTGGCCCATGGTTCTGGAGCTGGGAAGTCCAAGAGCATGGCAGTAGCATCTGGCAGGGACATCCCATGGCAGAAGGCATCACATGTTGAGAAGCCCATGTGAAAATGATAGAAAACAGAGGTCAAGCTTACCATTTTATTGGGAGCACACTTCCTCGATAGCTAATCCACTCCCATGATAATGGCATTAATCCACTCATGAGGTCAGAGCCCTCAGCACCAAATCACCTCTTAAAGGTCCCACCTCTCAACACTGGTGCATTGGGGATTAAGTTTCCACCACATGAACTTTGGGGGACATATTCAAATCATAGCAACTCATTTCCTTCCCTTTTGCATTTGAGTTCTGTGTTTACCTATCTTTCTCCCCTACCAGCCTGTGAGCTCTGAGGGCAGGAACCAGGTGTTTTACCAGGACCACTAGGCAGGTGCCTGGCACAAAAACCCAGTAAATTCTTGTCAAACTTCCATCAACCAAAAAAAATATTCTTGGAGGCCCTACTATATGTAAATCAATCTGAACAAATTAGGGTGCCACGCTGGAGTTTCTAGTTCATGGTAAATTTGTCATTGCACTTATTATTTCTGAAATATATTAAAAGCATATTGAAATATATTAAAAGTTCAGAGGCATGAAAAGTTTACTGAGTACCTCTCTGTGCTAGGCATAGTACTTAACACTAGGGATGCAACAATGAACAAGGTGCTCATGGTTCCTGCTCTCTCAGAGCTAAAGCATGGTTCTACTTTCTCCCTAGAACTCTGCCTAGAAAGAGAAACAATTAAGTAAGCAATTATAATTTAATGTCAATTTTTACCAAGAAGGGAATCCCTAGGAGAAGTATCAGACTAAGACTAGGGGTGAGGGACATCTAGTTTGAGACCCAAAGGTTGAGTAAAAGTTAGCTGGACAGGGAGTCAAGGAAAGCACACTAGACAAAGGGAACAGCATGTCCAAAGGCTCAGAGAAAGAGGGGGAAGGTGCGATCAGATGTGAGAAAGGTTAGACTGAGCAAAGCTAGGGAAGGGGAAGGCGAGAGTGGCAGATAAGTAGGGGTCTGTTGTGTAAGGTTTCCTACTCCACACTAAAGATTGCCGACCTTATTCTGAGAAGAGTGGGCCCCACTGAAGAGCTGGGCTGTGATCAAATCTAAACATTAGAAAAATCTCCTGACAGCAGCGTGAATGACAGATTGGAGGGGGTGAGAGATGACAACTGAAATGGATGGATTCTAGTAGAGTTGACTCATCATGGTGACTGAATGATGGGAGGAGAGGGTGGAGGCTGACTTCCGCTTGGGTGATGAGTGGATGGTGGCGCTGAGCTTTCAAATGAGAAAAGGGGAGGGGTCAGGTTTGGGGGTGGGGGAAGTGGCCTTGGGAATGTTGAGTTTGAGTGTCTGTTAATGAACTGGGGCAGTTCAATATATGAGACTAGAGCTCAGGAGACAGATCTGGGCTGGAGATAAATTTTTGTATATAATTATGTTTATGGGCACCATTTCTTCCTAAGGGCATGTAGCTTGTTTCATAATGGAAACCGTCTGGAGAACAACTCTAGCATCAGTCATACTTTGGCCACATACATTGTCTTCATTTTCCTGTCGTGTCCAGATGGTCAGCTAGATTGCAAACTCCCCCAGGGCATGTCCCTCCATCAGATTGTGCTTCCAGTGGGGGAGCCAGCACCTCCCTTAATCCTCCTCTGGTCCTGCATAGATGGCGTCCTAACCTAAGTCTGCTTCTGCCCAAGGCTGACTGAGCCTCTTTAGGGTAGATACTGGACCTAGGTCTTCTCCGTGTCCCCAGTGCCCAGAGGGGCTTACACGTGAGCTCCTGCCTCAGGGCAGGTCTGAGTGACAGCCCCTCCTACTGCACCTCTGCAGCCTAAGCCTCAGAATGCAGTCACCATTGCCGTGTCCTCCCGAGCCTTGTTCCGCATGGACGAGGAGCAGCGGATCTACGCGGAGCAGGGTGTGGAGGAGTATGTGCGCTACCAGCTGGAACACGAGAACGAGCCCTTCAGCCCTGGGCCGGCCTTCCCTTTCGTGAAGGTGAGGGGGCAGTTCCTCCACTAGCTCACACGGTGCCTTTGTGGGGATTAGAAAAAAGCATTGCAGGCCGGGTGTGGTGGCTCACGCCTGTAATCCTAGCACTCTGGGAGGCCCAGGCGGGCGGATTGCTCAAGGTCAGGAGTTCAAAACCAGCCTGAGTGAGACCCCATCTCTACTATAAAAAAAATAGAAAGAAATTAATTGGCCAACTAATATATATAGAAAAAGTTAGCCAGGCATGGTGGCGCATGGCTGTAGTCCCAGCTACTTGGGAGGCTGAGGCAGGAGGATTGCTTGAGCCCAGGAGTTTGAGGTTGCTGTGAGCTAGGCTGACACCATGGCACTCACTCTAGCCTGGGCAACAGAGTGAGACTCTGTCTCAAAAAAAAAAAAAAAAAAAAGCATTGCCATGGGTGTCTGAGTAAGGAAAAGGGGCTGCCTCTGGGCAGATGCAACCCCACAGGTGCACAGCTTGGGTAGGGGACAGAGCCTTTGTGGGAAGAAGAGGCCACCCCACTCCCTGGGCTAATGCAGCCCCATGCCTGGTAACCAGCTTGGTGAGGGGAACATGGGCTGGATTTGGGCTCCCACTCACCCCTTTAGAGAGGAGCCCCTGAACATTAAGCAACCGGCACAATGGTAGAGAGCGGCATTAGGAGGAGGGGTCCGTATGCACTGATCTCATCCCCGGCCCAGCCCCCTGGCCTCCCCTCTTCTCCCTTCATTGGCTCCCTGGCCACAAACTCCAGGTGTCAGTCCTTGTGGGTCTGAGCTGGAGGGTGCCCTGTCCCTTCCAGGCCCTGGAGGCTGTGAACAAGCGGCTACGGGAGCTGTACCCGGATAGCGATGACATCTTTGACATCGTCCTGGTGACCAACAACCATGCTCAAGTGGGTGTCCGCCTCATCAACAGTATCAACCACTATGGTGAGTGTGAGCATGAGGAGTTTGGCCCTAGGACACCCAAGCCAGACCCCCCCGGGCATGGGGCCACACCTCTGCAGGGTGGGGTTGTGTGGACTGGAACCCCAAGCCCAGTATTGTGCTGGTAAACTGGCTCTTCAAAACAAACAAACGAAACCCTAATTTGCAGCATTGCCAGTTTTCAGGGTATAAATATTTCTACCAGGGCTCATTTCAAGCTACCAGTGGCTGAACAACATAGCTGGCTCACAAAATTCCTGAATGTTTAACCATTTGCTCTTGCAAGCCAGTCCAAGCCAGAGCACGCCACTGCACAGGCCCCACTCCCAGCAGGATTGGGCAGGGCACTTACTGCCTCTGTGCCTCAGTTTCTCTAACTGCAGTGGGGCTAGCAGGCCTTGGGAGAATCAGGGGCAGTGATTGGGGTGAAAGGACTGTATGTCTTAGTCCAAACTCATGATTGAAAGTAATAGACCCTCCGGAGCTAGCTTAAGCTGAAGAGAATAATTTCTTATTAGGTTACAGGGATGTCTCAGAACCACGGGGCTCTGAGAAATAAATAAATAAAATTGAGCCAACAAAGGCCTGAATCCAAGGACTGGAAATCTCTCCTGGGTTCTCTCTGAACCACGTGAGACCCTAATTTGTGCTTCTTTAGCAAGTTTGTTCCCCCTCTCCCCCAGTCACTCTCCCCACACTGGATTGCTCTGCTTTTCCTGAACAAAAACCGTAATCAAGAAAAGCAGAGAGATCCAGTCTGGGGAGAGAGAGACGGAAAAATAAACTGGTGTTTGTAGGTTTACAAGGCCTTGTTTTAAGCAAGCAAGAGGGTGCAGTTGGCATTTTTTAAATCCTAATTTCAAATTGCTGGGAGCAGGGATGTCACATAGACACTGAGCAGTCAGGACAGCACCTGCAGTACTGAAGCAGGGTCCTGAGGGACCCTGCCATTCCATGGAGAGCCCCCTTTCCGTCGTGGACTGTGTGGAGAACAGGGGTCCTTGTAAGGCGTGAGGGGAGTGATGGGGAACTCAAGGAGCTCAAAGCAGCAGCCATTTATCAACCAGCAAATAGTTCCCCAGCCACAGGGACCAGCTGACGGTCGGCCCAGGCTGGGAGAAACTGGATTGGCCCAGCCTGGTCAGGTGTCTGCCCCTGACCAGTCAGCTATGGCCAGGAGGGTGGGGCCGCACCGGCATGGCTGGGGGACCTGCCTTTTGTAGCACTGTGATTCCTCGACCAGAGGATGTTACCGTGAGCCAGGTAATTGCTCCAGAGATGTCATCATCCCCATTTCGTGGATGAAGGATGGGGGAGCAGCTCTGATGGGGGGCGCTGGCCTAAAATCACACAGAGAATCTCTCTGCTGCCCTACCACACTCAAGGTGGCCTCCACTGGGCACAGAGGGGCCACTCTGAGGTCCTGAGGGCTGACCCTGCCTCACCTGGGTACTCTGTCTCCTCCCCAGACCTGTTTGTCGAGAGGTTCTGCATGACAGGTGGGAATAGCCCCATCTGCTACCTCAAGGCCTATCACACCAACCTCTACTTGTCAGCTGATGCTGAAAAAGTGCGGGAAGCCATTGATGAGGGTGAGTCGAAATGAGGAGGGAGAACATGGGGCGTCCACCAAAGGGGTCGCACGGGTGGAAGACCTGGTCCTCAAGCTCTGAGCAGGCACTGGGAGTTGCCATGGTAACTGGAAGGAGAGGCTGTGTCAGACTTTCCTTAATTCTTATGATCTGTCCTTTAAACTCTGAAAGCAAGGCCCCTCCCATTCCACTTTCCCACCTCCAGCCCTCCTGTGTTAAGGATGCTCTTACTCCTTAGCATCGCCCAGTCTTCTGTTTCCACAGAAACCTCCTTACAGCCCAGAAAGCTACTCCCTCTAAGATCCCTCCAAGTCAGTAGGAGCTCTGATTCCTGTATGACAGTGCAGGCTCTGTCCCACTCGGGGCCAATGGGGAGGCAACTCTTATCTAGTCCAACCTCAGCAGTGGGGTCTGGGAAGTGGCCAGCATCTACAGCAGCTGGGCTGGCCAGTGCTGGGGGGAGGTTAGGAGACCCAGCTGCAGGTACTGACAGAGAGAATTCCCCTCCATGTGTCTCTCTCCAGGGGCAGTGTTGAGTGGCATCCATAGCCTGAGGCCTCCCAACATGGTGCACATCCTATTGCATGTGGATATAAGAAAACAGGCCCACAGAGGAGTCACCCCGAGGCCTGAGAAGCCTCCTTGGGCTGGACATAAGTGGCAGGTTTTTTGCCAACCAACAGTTTATTTACTTTTTTCTTCCTCTTTCATGCTGCCTCTGCCTGGAAGCCTGGCCTCTCTCCCCTGATGCCTCACTGCCCTGAGCTGCTAGGGAGCTCCAACAGGCTATTTTAAACCAGGAACCAGAAGGCATTTCCTCAGACAGATGACACAGCCTTGGCACTGGCATATAGGGGTGGCTTTGTATGTCTGTACCTTCACCTCAGGCTACGGAGCGGGGCAATGGTCAGGAGAGGGGCCCTGCCCAGGGTAGGGGCGGCTCTGGGTCATCTTGGTTCCAGCACTGGCAGAGCTGAGAATGTGCCTGGCCTGATGCCTGGGCCTGAGCCTGCTTGTCACATTCTCAGGCTAGCGAAGTCATGTGAGGCTGGCACTGCTCACTCCTCCCAAAGCTTTCTTAAGCCCAGCCTTTGTGATCCTAGATTCCCTGAGAGCAGGACTAAAGTGGCCTTTGGAGAGATGGAGCCTAGGGCATGAGCTCAGCCAGCTGCTCTCTGCCAGCACTGGCTCTCTGCCACCCACTGCAGCTCTAGCTTGGAGCGCGAGTCACCCACCGACATCCTTGACTCCCTGGAGGAGCCCAGCGTTGCAGAGTCTATGCACACAGTCGGCTGTCACTCATGCTGCCTCCCAGGGCCACCTAGGTTGTCTCCTGGAACCCTAAATGAACAGACTGCTCTGAGCAAGGCATACCTGGGTGTCATTGTGGCTGTAGGCTGAGGGTGTCCATACCCACCCCACTGCAGATTGAAGCCTGGGGGCCCAACCCCAGATAGAGCGGAAAGGCCCTTAATTTCCCCTTGGTCCAGAGAGGGTGAGTGACTTGCCAGAATCAACCATGAGGGAGTGACCAAGGCCAAGCCAGAGTTGAGGATCTTTCCCAGTCCCCCATAGCTTTACATCAGCAGCCGGTGAGGAGCCCCTGGCAGAAGGGCATGGTCTGTGGGACCCTTCCCCTCAGGCGGGACTAATGTTCACCTGGTCCACACCAGCTTGACCTTACTAGGTATTAAAGTACTGAAAGACTGAAATTCCTTCATACTGGTTGGCAAATAGTTCCTGCCTTGAGTCCTCTGAACACCCTCCTGCCCTCTTGGACTCCCCCAGACCTCTCCACCGAGCAGTAGCCAAAAAGGTAACCTGCCAAGGTGAGGGTCCTCAGAGTCCTGCTTCAGAGCTATGGCTACGGCCCATTCTTCTTGGCTGGTGTCTGTGCACTACCGGTTTTTAAATATTTTTAGTATTAGCCTTCATTAGCCTTGCGCTGAGTTCTGGGTGAGGCAGGTGGGACAGGATAGTCGGAGATGCCCGTCCCTCCCCCCTGGCAGGGGGCCTACTGCCCAGCCTGCAGACAGACAACACTCGCCTCTCTCTGCCCAGGGATCGCAGCTGCCACCATCTTCAGCCCCAGCAGGGACGTGGCGGTGTCCCAGAGTCAGCTGCGTGTGGCCTTCGATGGGGATGCTGTGCTCTTCTCGGACGAATCGGAGCGCATCGTCAAGGCCCACGGGCTGGACAGATTCTTTGAGCACGAGAAGGCCCACGAGAATAAGCCTTTGGCCCAGGTGCTCCCCCTCGTCCCAGAACCCCTGAGTAGAACAAGGCAGCACTCCAGCCCGAACCAGGCCCCCCTGCTCCGCCCAGACTCCAGCCGGGTCCTCACCAAGCCTCAAGCCCGCATGCCTCCCACTCGGCCCCGACCCCCTCAGTGAGCTTCTCCCCTGCACTCAGCCTCTGTCCCCACCACTGGAGTCCCATCCCCTCTCCAAAGCCTCCACTCTCTCAGTTCCCAGCTGAATCTCCTAGCCCCTCTTTGCAGCTCAAATCCCCATTTCTGAGGTCTCCATCCCCTCCCCTAAGTCCCTGTTGTCTTTCTAGGTCCCCACCCCTTCTCTGAGGTCCCTGCCCCTCTCTGAAGGCCTTGGCCTCTCTCAGAAGCTGCCATAGTCTCTCTTCTCTGGAGCCCTCACCTCCTCTCTACGACTCTCCACCCCTCTGAGTGAGCCCCCGCCCGCTTAGGAAGCCCCATTCCCCTCACTGGAAACAGGAGGAAAGGGGGAAGGGAACTGCTGGACTGGTGCCCCTCACTGGGTCAGAGAGGTCCAGCTGGGGGTGGGGTCCCACCATTTGACATGGGACACCTCCTGCCATCCATCCCTTGGTTGGGGACACGGGGATCCTCACTCAGCCTATTTCTGAGAGCAGAATACGCCCTGGAGTGTGATAGAAATGCCCTGGAGTGGGGCTGCTGGGCTTCCCCAGGCCCCCGGGAGCTCCCATTTGAGTTTTTAAAATCTGAGTGCTCAATAATCCCAGAGCCCCTCCCTCCAAGAGCTCAGCAGGCCTCAGCTGTGGCTCCTGAATATTCATTTCACTTCCGTTCTTGTGGGTTGCCTCTGCAGTCCTTGGGAATCAAGGGCTAAACAGTTTTCCCACTGAGTGGGAGGCAGAGGCCCAGGAGACCATGGCTTGCTCCAGGTCACCTGGCAAGTGAGGGGTCTCCAAGACTAGAATCCCACCTTTCCTAATGCCAGCTGCTTTGGAAATAAGCAGTCTTCTTCATCACCATCTGGTTTTTCATTCACACATCCTCATTAAGCTTCATTGTTCCAGGCACTGTAGAGAATAAATCCTTTCTCTGGCCCTAGAAAGCTTGAGCATGACACCCTGAGCCACCTTGTGCCTGATGGACACGGTTGATGTCCAGCAGTTACACATTGATCCATCTGTCCCAGCTGTTTACAGCTGGAGTCCATTCTGATTGGAGGGTGCCTATGCCATAGCTACAAAATATTTTTAATATCCTTCCAGCTGATGGGCACGGAAAGCCACACGCATAGAGCTGCAGGACAGACACCCATGTACCTTGGTGGGAGCATGGAGGAACATACACCATAACAGGTGCCTGGTACAGTTATTCTGACCCAGCCTTGATATACAGTAATACAGACCCCCAGATTGGCATTGGCACCTATAGCCCACTGGTGAGCACAGTAGCCCAAGCAGGCACAGCAGAACTAGCCGAAAGATTTAGGGATCCTGAGAAGCTTTCCCCCCAAGCAACGAGGCACCAGTGCTTTAGGGAGAGGGAGCAAATGTTGGGAGGGGTAGAGCTCATGGTGTTCCCTTGCCTTCTCACAGGGCCCCTTAAAGGGCTTTCTGGAGGCACTGGGTAGGCTGCAGAAGAAGTTCTACTCCAAGGGCCTGCGGCTGGAGTGCCCCATTCGCACCTACTTGGTGACAGCACGCAGTGCAGCCAGTTCCGGGGCCCGGGCTCTCAAGACCCTGCGCAGCTGGGGCCTGGAGACAGATGAGGCCTTGTTCCTAGCTGGAGCACCCAAGGGCCCCCTCCTCGAGAAGATCCGACCTCACATCTTCTTTGATGACCAGATGTTCCACGTGGCTGGGGCTCAGGAGATGGGCACCGTGGCTGCCCATGTGCCTTACGGCGTGGCACAGGCACCCCGGCGGACTGCACCTACAAAGCAGGCCCCATCTACGCAGTAGCTGAGCCACCAGCTTTGCTGGGCCACATTGCTCCAGGCTCCCTGTTACACTTTGACTCCTCATCTGGTGGACGCTTCTAGTTCCTCACTGTTCTGCCCTTCTGCCTGGCAGCCCTCATCCCTGTGAGTGAGGTACTGGTAGGAAGTTATGCAGATGGGGCTGGAGTTCTCACCATCCCTCCTTTGGGGTAAACCCTGTGCTGTGATCCTGACCAGGACAATAGGACTGTGCAGAGCAGCTGGATTTCAGGGGGAGTTGATGGGGCTGAGACAGGGAGGGGGGAGTGGAGCTAGGATGCTTCAAAAGGGCTTGGGATGGAAATTAGCTCTGTGTACCACAAAGAACACTGCTCCGACAGAGACTGGATCAGGCCTCAAAGCTCTGCCCTGGCATCACCTGAATGACTTTGAGTAAGTCTCTCCCCTTCATGGGCCCCAGTTTTCCCATCTTTTGGGTGGTTTCCAAACTCCCCTTTAGCCAAAGAAGCTTGGTTCTGTAAGATTGCCCTCTTAGAAGGAAGCGTTCTGTGCCAGGCTGCTGCCGATATGTACGGCACCTTTGTGCAAATTGCAAAAGGATGCTTTCTTTAGGCAAATGAGGAGCAAAAAGACAACCCTTTCTCTGGCCTGCCCCAGACCTGGGCTAGAGTCCCCAGCTGGGTTAGCAGGATGGAAGCTGGATTTCAGCCTTCACTTGCCTCTCAGCTCAGAGGCCTTTGTCAAATGGGCAACATGCACAATCAGCCGCAGCAACCCTGTCTGTAATTTTACACATCTGGAAACCACTGGACAAAATGACCTGCTTCCCGTGATCATCTAACCTGAGCCATCTGCAGGCTCAGCTGCCGGGTGGAGCTTGTGGCAGGGAGCCAAGAGAGTGGATTTAACCTGCACGCACAGGCTCCTCCTGCCAGCAGGGGGCGCTGTGGGCCCTTCCTGGGGAGGCGCATTAGGCCTGTTCAGTGTTTGCTTTTGCTTTTAGCAAAAGTTCTGTTGCTCCTGCCTGCTGCCCCGGTTGCCTTCACCCTCACTCCTCCAACTGTTGCCTCCTGCTGTGCCATAGAGCAGCTCTGCCTGTGGGGAAAGAGGCATCCGGTCTGTGTCTGCTGCGGTGGCCCCAGATGCAGGGCAAGAAAGCGCAGTGGCTGAGTGGGCGTTGTCCAGGCTGAGCCGAGGACAAGGTGCTGCCTGGGGTGAAGCGGGAGGTGTCAGGAGGTCTGGTCTGGGGCAGTGACTGCTTAGGGAGGAAGGAGCTGCCATGTGCACCAGCAGAATTCTCCGGCTATGGGATGGTGAGTGGAAGGCCAGTCAGAGCTGCTTTTGGAGGGAATGAGCTCTCCGTCACTGGACGCTGTGCAGGGGCTTCCAGGATGAGGTGACCTCCCCCTGAGATGCACCAGTGAATCCTCCATGTTTCCCGAGCCACTGCCGCCCCTTCACCACCTCTTCCAGAGGAGAACTCTCACCAGGTGATGAGTCAGCCTCCTCCCTTGCTGAGCAGGGTGGAAGCACCGATGCTGATGCTGGTCCCTCGGGAAGATTGAGAAGGGGCGAGCAGGCATCTGTGTGGACTGGCTTCCAGGCGCCCAGCAGGAATCCTAATGAGTGAGCGCTTGGCGAAGAAAAACAAAGGTATCATCAGAGGGTGGGGAGCCTGGAGGTGTAGGGGTGGGAACAGGGTGGGGGGGGAAGAAGGGCAATCTGGGGGCTGACCTTGGTCCTTTTGGGGACCCAGCTCAGGGTCTGAATGGGCATAGGTTCTAGGCAATGTGGGGCAAGGTAGTTTCTGCAGAAAGATAATCTAGGAAGAAGAGCAAAGTGAGAAGACAAAGTGGTTCTTTTTTTTTTTTTTTTTTTGAGACAGAGTCTTGCTTTGTTGCCCAGGCTAGAGTGAGTGCCGTGGCGTCAGCCTAGCTCACAGCAACCTCAAACTCCTGGGCTCAGCGATCCTCCTGCCTCAGCCTCCCGAGTAGCTGGGACTACAGGCATGTGCCACCACGCCCGGCTAATTTTTTGTATATATTTTTAGTTGGCCAATTAATTTCTTTCCGTTTTTATAGTAGAGACGGGGTCTCGCTCTTGCTCAGGCCAGTTTTGAACTCCTGAACTCGAGCAATCCGCCCCTCCTCAGCCTCCCAGAGTGCTAGGATTACAGGTGTGAGCCACCTCGCCCGGCCAACAGAGTGGTTCTTGAAATGAGCAACAGTTGGGCCACAACTGGGCTGGGCTTTTGCTGTCAGTGTGGGAGGCCTCCAAGAGGCTGGTCTCTAGGAGGAAAGGCGAGGCTGTGCTGAGTGGCTGGGCAGACATCCACCACAACTGCCTTATCAGGGGACACCCATTATTGCACCTAGAAGGGCATGTGATGAAGATGCCTTTGCACGAGGTCATTTCCACCACACAGCCAGCATCCTTCTGGCCAACAAAGAAGGCCTTGGGGCAGAAGGCCTGCTCTGGGGCTCCCTCCACTATCAGAGCTCCAAGCCTAGCCGGAGGTACTGTGAGACCCAAGAACACTCTCAAGGAAATGAAAAGGAAGTGAGAGAGGGTGTTCAGCCCAAGTCACCTTCAATCTTGGCTGAACCACAGAAAGGCCTTCTGCCCCCTGGGCCTGAATCACCTCCAGGGCTCACAGAACCAGTGGCCGTAAGAAGACTGCAAGGCTAGGCACAGCCCAGGCTCAAAGGATGGCATGCGGCCACCTGACCACCTGACCAGGGTGGACCTGTGCACTGAGGGCAGCACCAGATGTCACCTAATTAAGATAAACTGCGGGGATTCTGGAACCTCTAAGTCTTGCCCCCAGGGCCTAGTGATGAACATGGCTGATTGTCCTGGGTCTCTCAGGAAGCAAGAAAATATGATGCTAGAAGCAGAAAGATAAGGTGCAGTAAAAGCCACCGATTTGACTGGAGCCACCATTAATAGACAGACAGCCCTGGGCAATGGAAAGACACTAAAGGTCCAAATTCTATTATTGAAATCACAAATGAGCATTGCAGGCCTGGAAAAAAGCTTTTAGTAGCTGGAATAAAAAGCCAGAAGTCCAGAAGTGGGCAGGCTTAGGCAGCAGTCAAGACAAGCTTTCTGATTGTCTCAAGAGGCGAGGAGGGGCCCAGGGGTGAAGAGCATTGTTTATTGTATCACCTGGAAATGTAAAAGCCAAGTGAGCACCAAAGCCCCAGGCCCAACCAGGGAATGCAGCACTGAGGCAGAGGGGCCACAGTTTCTGAGACATTGGTCCATTTTAGCTGAAAGCACCACTTCTCCAACAAGCCCTGCAGAACACTGGTCCCAGGAAATGCTTGCCAACAAAGTCCCAGACCCCATGGGACTGCCACTTAGCAGAAAAAAAACCCAACCCTGTTACTAAGCACTGAGACTGCTAAGGTAATTGCAAAGCAGCCCCCTTCCCTACCTGAAAGCCCAATCAGTAAGTAGTGGGATGTAGCAGAATATGCCAGAGAGAAATAGAAACAGTCAAGAAGTTCAAATCCAAGATGGATTTGGCATTATTATGGTATTAAATCAGTGTGCAACAGTACAGCCAAACAGATGATAAAAATCTTGAAATACTTCCATACCGGTTGGTAAATAGTGCTGCCATGAGTCCCCTAAGTGTCCCTTTGTGGCCTCAGCTGGCCCCACTGTGAACACTCCATCTTCCCACAATCCAGCCTCCAGGAGGCGGCACCAGCCAGTGTCCTCTGTTTTGTGGTGTCCTGGCCATGCTAGTTTAGGGAGCTAAAGTAACTTACCAAAGCCACACAGCTAGTTACTGGCAGCACTGGGACTCAAACTCACGTTTGTCTCATGCTAGGACCCAGGCTCTCAACCATTTTGCCATACTGTTCATACATATGCATGGAGATGGCAAGAGAAGCTTCATTCTGAGGTCTTCACCAAAGGAGTTTACGTGACACTCAGTTAACGTGTTGATTTCCTCCATGTTGAAATACTGGAATACATTTGAGTGGGTACTTTTTTTTTTTTGAGACAGAGTCTTGCTCTCTTGCCCCAGGTAGAGTACAGTGGTATCATCATAGCTCATTTCAACCTCCAACTCCTGGGCTCCAGTGATCCTCCTGCCTCAGCCTCCCAAGTAGCTGGGACTTACAGGTGTGCACCATGACACCTGATTAATTTTTTTTTTTCTGTGTATAGTAGAGACAGTGTCTTGCTCTCACTCAGGCTGGTCTTGAACTCCTGAGCTCAAGCAATCCTCCTGCCTTGACCACCCAGAGTGCTAGGATTACAGGTGTGAGCCACTGTGCCCAGCTTACTGGGTATATTTTTATTATAGCTTCCTAAAGAGTTAAAAATAAATTAGAGCCAAACATTTGCAGACCCCTTGAAGTACTTCCAAATAATACCAAGTTCTGTGGAACTCAGTTTGAAGACCCTTGTTTTGGGCTACTGCAGAGTTTTGCAAACTATGGTCCTTGGGCCAAATCTGACCCATCACCTGTTTTTGTAAAGAAACTTTTATTGGAACACGGTCATGTCCATTTGTGTACGTATGTTTGTGGCTACTTTCACACTAAAACTGCAAAGTTGAATTGTTGTAACAGAGACTGCAAAGCCAAAAATATTATCTAGCCCTTTACAGAAAATGTTTGCTGACCCCTGGGCTAAGTCAAACATCCCTGGCCCATCCCTCAGTGAGATGAGCCATGTCACATCCACATGAGCATTTGTAGGCAGAGGTTGGCTCCACTGCTGAGGGAGAAGGGCATGGGGGCTCTGTGCCCATCTGAGCCTTGCTTGACATTTGAGGATTTGAGATTCCAAGTTTTAACTATTTTCAAGTGACCCACAGCCTATTGTAATTTGCAATTTTGTTGATGCACAGATTTGACTTGTGCGTGCCCTCCCAAGCTGATCAGTGGGGGGTGGGGAGCAGGACCTTGGCTGGGACTGAGCCCAGCTAGATGTCCAGTGTCTGCTCAGTGTGGCTCTGTGTTCTCGACATGTCATTGCCTTCATGGGGCCTCTTGGACAGTGGTAAGTCTGATCGGTGGATGGGAATTAGCTAAATATAAGTATTAGATAAAGTGAAATGCCCAAAGTTGACTTGAGCCCCTCTGAGCTAACGCATCATCCATATGCTGTCTATGACAGCAATAACCAATCCTTCAGGAAGATGGCCCCACGGAGGGTTGTAGGCAGATCAGAAGTTACTAATCAAGTGAGAGAGAAAGCTCCAGCAAAAGTTGGAATGGCAGTTTTCTCATGGTATGGGGGTGTGAGAAATATGTACACATGCCCCTCACGATGTAATTGTGCATCAGGGATGTAAATGTGAAGCTAGGACCCCACAAATTAAGAGATTTATGAAGGTTCTAGGATTCACTGCAAGAATGGCAAGTGTGGAAGACGTCCCATCTACAGCCATTGTTACTATAGCCACTCCATCAAGATGCTCTTCTCCGCTAAGCCCAGACGTGGCCTCAGAATCCTTCCCAACCCAGCATTCCAGGCAGCTACCAGCAGTGGCTGGAGGTGGTGTAAAAGATGAAACTCATTTTGCCTCCCCTATTGGCACTGGGTGTTGCTATCTGGGAGACATGCAAAGCCCGGAATGGTCATTTTCTGATGCTGTGGTGCAGCCCTGAGGATTCTAGGGTCTCCCCCAACTTGGGCGGAACATGAGGAGGTGGGAGAATGGCATCCCGTGGCCGGCAGCTTCCCTGGAAGGAGTGCCTGAGAAGCAGTTGTCCTCGGCTTTATCCCGTCTTGAAGCAAAGTACAAACCCTTTCCCTCCCGCCAGCAGGTGGCGCTGCAGGTGGCACTCAGTTGACAGTAAGTGCTTTTATTCACCGGTTTATTGTTATCTCCTATACTGTTAGGTGCTGCGCTGGACTCTCCCCGCAGGTAGCTCTAGCCAGCCAAAAAGGACTCTAAGTGCCCTGGAAATGAGAAACATGCCTATGTGACGAGCTGATTGCTCTCACCGATAACCACTGTGATTGTGTGTATGGGTGTACACATGTAAGTGTGTGCAACAGGATAAAAACTGCATGTATGAATGTTTATGTGAGTGTGTGTAATGGGTTCAATATTTCTACTGATGACTCCGTGTGTGTGTGTGTGTGTGTGTGTGTGTGTGTGTGTGTACTCCTCAGTATGAGTGTGTACAGACAGTTATCTCTGTTAATTGAGGGTCCTGGGCCCCACACACTGATGGCCTGCCTGCTTCCTGGGACAGTTCTCATGGGCATCATCTGGGCATCATCTCATGGGCATTTGCACATGTGCAGCGTGGAGGCCACTGAATCCAGGCCCCTTTGTCTTCCTCTCCAGCTTCCAGCCCCTAGGCCAACAAGGTTTCTCAACCCTCTGCCTCCCATCCCTACCTCTGAGCCTTGGGAAGGAATTGGTAGAATCTGTGCCAGGACAACACTTTTGACTATGCCTGCCTCATCATCTCCACTTGTTTCTTCCCTCCTCCAACAGTGCTAGGGCCAACATGTACACTTGGGCAGATTACACACTGCAAAAATCTAGAGGGAGCCATTTATACCATGATTTGGGTGGCTTTGTCTTAGGTACCCGCAAAACCTGCCAACTGTACACAGATGCCCTGGTCATTGCACGGCCGTGCCTACGAAAGTTGTCTTTCTCACTCTAGGCTGGCCCAGCCCAATCTAAGCTGAGAT